GATTGAAATGCCATGGCTTCATCAAAATTTGAATCTTGATAAGGTACTTAGACTGTTGATAAATAGTTTTAATGCTACAATCCTGGGGAGTGGTTTAAATGGTTTGATGTGTTTTTAATTATATATTGGATTTTAACCTGTTTTGTACCTCACTTCAAGCATTGGGGAGAAGTGTTGGGATTCAACCCCACATTGCCCAAGTCTCTAGTCCTGAATGAGGAACAAGTTTATTTATTTATTTATTTATTTTATTTACTTTACTTGTATACCGCAGTTTCTCAGCCTAACAGGCGACTCAACGCGGTTTACAACAAGGATAAGATCAATCAACGATATACAATTTAAAACCATTAGAGCACAATATACAATATTGACACAACAATAATAAGTTAGTTAGCTGACAATAGGATGAGGGTTTCCCTTGTCCCATGTCTTCTGGAAAGTATCTACAGTATTTCTTCTCTCCTCTCTGTTTCTGCTCTCATTCTGATTGGTAATGTAGAATGGTTCTTATTTTTTAATGTAAATAAACCTTTTGTGATTTTTAAGATTAGACTCTGCAACTTTGACTGCCTAAGCTCTAAATTCTTTACAGCCACATCATACGGGGCATCACGCTCTGCATTTAGCTCAACTTTTAATATCCTGTTTGTGTTTTGGATGCTCTGCTATATTTTTGGGGTAGTTTTCCATAACAAGAAGCAGATGCGAAATAAAACTGATAATAATGCTGTACTCCAGAAATATTCAAAATAAAGGGTTTTTGAGAAATATGCAAAACACAAAATATCATATCTGAAGAATTAGCGATGGGACACTGAAAACTGTATTTCAAAATGCTTGGAAATGGCATGTTAAGACAATGAAAAGGTTGTTTTACCCAGTTATTCAACTCTCTCAACATATTCTAGTCCTTTACTCAACACCGGATGTACTCACATACATTATTCATTCAAGCCTTTGAGAATTATAGAAGCTGACTGACTCTGCAGGAAAGAAATATTAAAAAGGAATCTGACATCCAGCATTTGATATGCAGATGCAGCCAACACAGCATGTAGCAGTGTGATTTCTAATATCAGAGCTGTCATTCAAGGACCTGGGTATTGACTTACAGTAACAGGTGCTGAAAAAAGTGCCATAAGAACCCAGGAACTAAATTTAAACTAGTGTGTAAGCATCATCATCAAAAAAATGAATTGCTGACCTCTGGTGGCCACCTGTATTTTAAACTCATAAAACAGAACAAATATGCCTGACTCACTTCAGAGAAGATAAGAGTTTCTAATTGCAAAATAGATAGTTGGATAGATAGGCAGACAGACAGGTAGATAGTTTTCACAATTCTTGTATAATATGATCCCTGTATCTATAGGGATACATTCTATACCAGGTATGGACAAACTTTCTAAGTTGGGGGCCGCATGGTGGGCCAGAGAAGAGTGGGTGGACCCGGAGGAATGGAGTTATTCCCAGGCCCACTCCCTGCCCTTTCCTCCACTTTGTCTTCTCTTTTGGTGGCAAAAAGTGAAGGAAAGACAGGAAACGTTTTGATCCCAAAAGGGTTAGCCTTCGTTAGGATGAGGAGGAGAATGGGTGAGAAAAATGTATCCATTAGACCTCGTATTGCCCACTCCTGATATAGAATCCTAAAGTTGAAAGACACCTCCAAGGGCCATCTAGTCCAATACCCTACCATGCAGGAAGACACAATCAAATCACTCCTGATAAACACCCTCTGCCGGAAAAGTTTCCAGAGAAGGAGACTCCACCATACTCCGAGGCCGCCTATGCCACTCTCCAGGAAGTTCTTCCTTAAGTTTTTTCAGTCAAATTTCATTCCTTGCCATTTGAATCCATTGCTCCCTTGTGCCATGATCTTTAGAACAGCAGAACGTCAGTTTTCCCCTTCCTCCTCCTCAATGGGATCTTGAAAAATGGTTCTCAATTGTGTTCTCTCTCTATCTTCTCTTCTCCCAGCTAAACATCCCCCAAGAGGAAGGAAAAAGAGAAGGAAGGAAGGGAAGGATGGAAGGGAATGGAGGGAGGAAAGAGAGAAGGAAGAAAAGACAAAAGGGAAGGAAGGAAAAAAAGGAAGAGAGGGAAAAAGGGAGGGAAGAGGGAAGGAAGGACGAAAGGGTGAAAGGAATAGAGGGAGGGAGAAAGAGGGAGGGAGGAAAGAAAAGGAAGGAAAGACCAAAGGGAAGGAAGAAAGGAGAAAGAGGGAGATAAGGAAGGAAGGGAAGAATGGAAGGTGAAAGGAAAGAGAGAAGGAGGGAAGGATAGGATGGTGAGAGACATGAGGGCCTGGGAAAAGAGCCCAAGGGGCCGCATCCGGCCCCCGGGCCTGGGTTTGCCCATACCTGTTCTATACTCACACGTATGCATAATTATAAAAATAATTGGTGACAGGGTATTCTGTACTACACACCAGCAGTTGAAGCCTGTTGTAGAAACATTTGGCTCAGACCTAAATACTATAAAAACCTGAGAGTATAACCAGAGACTTGTGATTATCTTAAAATGTACACTTTCCAGGAAGCAACTGTGACCAATAAATCCATTTGGCAGCAGGGACCGCACTTAAGCTAAATTAATAGGCTGGAAGACCGAACCACTTTGGCATCCTTCAAGTATAATTATTTCCACTGATTACTTCAACAAGACCTACCCCAGGACGTTTGGGCACCATACAGAGAAGTATTTGCTCGAAATAAGTGAAATGGAAGCAGATATCGGAGGCTATAGAGATCCACAGAACATTGAGATATGAACTAGAATTTCTATGTGTGCACCACAGTAAATCGTTGAGCTTAAAACCCAACAATGTTTACCCTTTAAATGTGTTATTTGTTCATCAATTTCAAGCTTAGGGAGTGATTTAAATAAATCACAGAGTGAAATCTCTTGTGTATGAGTTTTTTTTAGTACCTAAAGCCAGAGATGTCCAGTCAAAGCAGTTGAAGTCTGAGTAACTTGAAACATATGATCATCTGTGTATCTAAATTCAAGGACAGCTCCATACAACTCCCCTTTCAATGGCATGATGTATGCTCACTCTTCCAAAATTTGAGAAAAACAGTCTGCTCAGTTTGTTAAAGCATGACTCTTCTCAACAGGCAATTACAGACTCACTCCCACTACAGAAGTCACATAAAACTGCAAATTAAAATTTTAAAATACCATTGCAGTGTAAATAAGCCTTACAGGTAAATAGAAACATTTTACTATGTTGTGTGTTTCACTGATATGCTGAATGCTTGCCAATCTTTCTTGGAGAATATGGCTGACTTGTTTATCAGAAATAAGAGCTGTTCAACAGTGTGTATATATTTATTATGGTCAATGACCAGCACCATATGAAAGGAAATTCCACCTGAACATTAAAAAGAACTTTCTGACCATAAGAGCTGTTCAACAGTGGAACTCTCTGCCTTGGAGTATGATGGAATCTCCTTTCCTTGGAAGCTTTTAAACAGATGCTGGATGGCCATCTGTTGGGGATGCTCTGATGGTGCTTTTCCTGCATGGCAGGAGGTTGGACTAGATGACCCATGTGGTCTCTTCCATCTCTATAATTCTATGCATCCCATGCCTTACAATAATCTCTTCTTCATACTTTCCTATGATTATTTTCCATATGCCCAACTGCATAAAATACAATACAGATTCCCTAAAAATACCTCAGGCAAAGTACATGTTTCTGTATATTGAACTGCAATTCTCAACAGCTCTCATCAGTAATTGTGAGGAATTAGGAGCTGCAGTCTAATATCTGGAAGGCTCTTGTTCACTCATTCATCTTCTACAAGAAGATGGTGTAATACAAGCAAAATAGAAGACAGTAATATTTGGGCAAATCATATCTTTCTTTGCTGAAACTACACTGAACCATTTTAACTCACTTTGCTAGAAATGATATCATATGAAAGCTGACAGGTACAACCTAGGGATCACAATCAGACACAGTGAAGACATCTGCCCTTGCGCTTTGCTGCTGGGATATACAATCAGACACAGTGAAGACATCTGCCCTTGCACTTTGCTGCTGTGCTGCTGAGTACGCATTCCCAGTGTGGAACACACCTCACCACACTATAACAGTGGATGTGGCTCTTAATGAGACATGTCGCATTATCACAGGATGTCTACACCCCACACCACTGGAGAAAATATACTGTTTAGATGGTATTACACCACCTAACATCCGCTGGGAAGTAGCAACCAAGGCAGTGACATCTCCTGCCCATCCTCTGTTCAAATACCAGCCAGCACACCAACACCTTAAATCAAGAAATAGCTTTCTAAGATTGACAGAGATACTCACAGGAACACCTCAGCAAGTGAGAGCCCAAAAGTGGCAGGCTAAAACCTGGAATCTCAATCAGTGGCTGATACTGGATGAGAGACTCCCTCCTGGGCACACAGAAGACTAAGCGACTTGGAAGGTTCTGAATAGACTGCGCTCTGGCACCACAAGATGCAGAATCAATCTTTAGAAATGGGGCCACAAAATAGAGTCCATGACATGTGTGGAGAAGAGCAAACCACAGACCACTTACTACAATGCAGCCTGAGCTCTGTCACATGCACAATGGAGGACCTTCTTACAGCGACACAAGAGGCACTCGAAGTGGCCAGCTTCTGGTCAAAGGACATTTAGTATAATGCCAAGTTTTTAACTTTTGTGTTTTTAAATACATGTTAACTGTACCCCCAACTCACTTCTGACATGATAAATAAATAAACCCACTTTCCTATCCAAACTACTACAAACTTTTTAAGCTATATGCAGGGACACTTTAAGGGCATATTTCACACCAGCCATTTGATCAGAAGTTCTTCAGAAAAACAAATAACTTCATATGCTTGATGGGAATATGGAATTAGTCTTTTGAGAAAAAGGTAGACGTACAAATACAAATAATTTTATATCATTCAGTACTGCCTCACACTTCTTCAGTACTCAAGAACAACACAGAGAGACAAAGGTATCTCACCAATATCATTGTGAAAGGAAGCTGGATCAGACGCCCCAAGGGAAGCTTCAAACTCTTCCTGGAGTCGATATGCTCTTTGGAGCAAGGATTCAAGCTTGTGAATGAATTCAGCACTAATGATATCCTGTAAAAAGAAGATGTAGCATGTAAATGGATCATTTTCACTAACATTTGAGGCAGCTAATGGGAGATTTCTGAGATGGTCAAGGCTCAATAAGAGTACCTTTAATTATTAATTATCTATATAACACCACATGAAGGAACTGCAAGGCCTGAAAAATGACTTACTGCAGCAACCAAGCTTTTTAGCCTCTTGGCTAAGATCAAGTACAGCTCACCTACCAAGAACTGCGAAGTTTGACTGTTACCTACAAAGAGGTTCTTGTTAGGAAAACTACACAGTGAAGTGTTATATACAGAGACTTCACATCCACATTGAACAGTTATTTCCACATTATTTATTTGTTTGTTTATTTACTGCATTTATATACTGCATTTCTCACTCTTGAGGGGAACTCAAAGCAGTGTACAACAAGTAATGGCAAGATTCAATGTAAACATATATACAAAACCAAAGAATAATAACTAAAATGATAATATATAACTATAAATTAAATCTTATAATCATATTAAACATACAACATAAACAGACATTTAAAATTAAAATATAGAATAAAAACATCTTAATATAGCATTAAAATCACAAAATCCAGAATCGTAATCCGAAGCCATTCCTATTGTCAAGTGCACTTATGTCCTATTCATTTCTTGTACTGCATTACTTTACTGCCCAAAGGCTTGGTCCCATAGCCATGTTTATAAACATATTTGGAGTAAGGCACACAAATGAAGCTGAAGTACTATCAGTACAGCTACCACATATGTTTAAAGCAACAGAATGTTTATTTGTAGATTTATTGTCGTATTTTAAAAAATGTAAATACCGTAAATAAATAAAGTGTAAGTAAATAAATAAATGCCATCACAATTAAAGAAAAAAGGTGACAGATCATTTGAGAATTATATTTATAACATAATGCCATAAGCATACTGGTGAGGAATGACAACAAAGAGTATTGATACAGGGAAGCTGGCAAGGTGCCTTCGAGGCAATTGTTCAGAAAGTTCTCTTGAACAACTGTAGTTTCTTCACTGGACCACGGCATATATTTTTCATCATTTCTGAAAATCTTCCAAAGTGCTTTAGTGAAAATGTATCCAAGTACTGACATTTACTCACATCAACATTTTCTTCTGCAATAGCATCCCCTGCCCCAAGCTTGATTGCACTACAGTTGGCTTCATCTTCAACCTGTCTGTTACGAAAAGTCAGTGCCTGCTCCCATCGCCGCAGTGCTTCTTCAAAAAGTTCCATTCCTGAAAGAATTGCACCACTTTTTAATCTGATTTTTAAAAACAAACCCAATTTCAATTTTTAATGAGACCTCCCTTGTATCATATACCTTTATTTGGCTCAAACCATTTGGAGTCATTTACTTTGTGAGTGCATTTCTACAATGTATCTGATCTCCAGATATGGTGAAGCTAGCCTTGACCACATGAATGAGAAGCCCCCAATGGCACAGGCCGGACTGCTGACCGAAAGGTTGATGGTTCGAATCAGGGGAGTGGGGTGAGCTCCTGTCTGTCAGCTCCAGCTTCTCATGCGGGGACATGAGAGAGGCCTCCCACAGGATGGCAAAACATCTGGGCGTCCCCTAGGCAACATCCTTGCAGATGGCCAATTCTCTCACACCAGAAATGACTTGCAGTTTCTCAAGTCGCTCCTGACATTTAAAAAAACCCATATGAATAGATTAAAGGAGGAATAATGTGGCAGGCTATGAGTGTGAGCAGGGTAAGATAACTGTTGATTCCTTCATGTCCAATTGTTCTAAGTACAACCATTCACTATTCTTTCAACACTGAATAACAAAACGTGGATATATGAATCCATATACCAAAGTTTTAAATTTACACTTTATGACAGGTTTAGAGAATCTTACAGGCTTGTTGTTAAATATGAGCGACATGTGGCTCAAGAACCTACAAGTGTGCTGGCAGAGCTTAAAGATCTATCATTATACATACTTATGTCATGAGTGTGAAAGTTTTCCTTTATCATCTTCATGATATGTTATGGACAGTGTACCTTCACACTCAATCTCTGCATAGGAGATGGAACATTTGGAGTTGCATTGCATGATACTATTGGGCTGGCAATGCCTTCAGCCACTTGAATTTCTAGCATTTGCAGGTCAGGCAGTGCACCGATACAGCTCCATAGTTGGACAGAACTACACCTGGGTACTTTCCAGCTCCATTATGCAGATTGGGGAAAGATTTCACACAAGGAGGTGGAAAATGAATAAACAGGCACTGGAAGCGTTTTTGTTTTTTTTAAAGTGCCAAAAAACTATAGCCATCTTCTTTACTTCTGATCTCTGCCAGGAGGTTACTATATAAGCAATTCTACCTGGCGACAAAGGCAGTGCTTCATGGCTTGTGAGATACTTTGATGTGAAATACTTCTATGTTTTTATCATGCATTGCAGATATATTCCATCATGCCTTGCAAAAACATTTTTTTACAATACTGTACATGCAAGCCTTAGACAATGAACTTTGAAGTACTTTAAAACACAGGGAAGAATGCTATGCATTGAAAAGGCAGGTCACTTACCCATCAAGTATAAGTTTTCTGGAGTGGTTACTGGGATATTAACTAGCTTGACATCATCTTCATCGACTTTGTCCCAGGAATTGGAATTGACACATACACAGCTAGGACAGGATGTGGCACTTTGAATCTAATTTTTAAAAAGTATGGGTATGTGATCATTTAATTATATAGTCAATGACCTCACCTTTTTGGTCTCACTAGCTAGTTGTTTCAGCTTATATCTTTACAGCTGAGTGTGAATATTCTGCTTTATTTAGCAAAACTAGAACAAAAACTCTCTCACACTCTTAAACATCAATAAAGACTGGAACACTGCAGACAATGGCAATTCCAATATTTAGCCTTTCACTGTGATTCTATTCATACTCATGAACAAATGTCTTCCTTTCTTCTCCTACATGCTGTCTATAATATTTCGCTCGTTTGGCTCTCATATCTTTTGCCACCCATCTTCTTGTAGGTGTCTCCCTCTACTCCCACTCATTTCAAAAAACAAAGTAGATAATAAAATTGTCTTCCTTTCCACTTTTCATTACCCTGAACCACAGAAATCCCATCAACAATGGCCCATTACGGTGAAAAAATACTCAGCCATAATATATTCTAACAAGATAGCTTTGTCTGAATATAAGAAAGAAGGAACAAATAGAAAGGAGAAAGTAAAGAAGTGACAGATAATTAAGTGACTAAGGGTTCTGGCTTAGTGTTTCTAAATGTGGGCGAACGTGGTGATAGAAAGGTAAGAGCATATTTGCAAACATTCATGTGACATTTTGAGTGAAGAACTTTCCAATAAGGAAAAAAAGAACTTTCCAAAAAGGAAAAAAAAGGAGCCAGATTTGACACTGAAATGAAAAATACTGACCTGGGGAAAGACTTCAGTAGCAAGGAAAAGGGATTGAAATTTAACATAGTCTTCCCACAAGGTTCTATGCTGATTCTTGAAAACTGCTTTCCCATAGTTAGATTAATATGAGTCTGCCTTTAAATATATACATGATATTTAACACAATGTACATTATGGTTTATAAAATGGGATCTCTCAATCCATGGGCTCAAGATCTATACATTTAACTGACTGCTGAATTATTGCCGTACATGTCACATCCATTTAATAATATGGGGCATAATCATCCCCATTTTCTCATATTTACATAGGGTGCTGGAGCAAAACAAAGTGCCTACTGTATTTCCCAATCTTATAATGCACACAAAAATGGGAAAGAAAAAATTGAGTAATTAATTAGTGCACCTTCTATAGCAAATCCCAACTTTAGAAAAAGTCTCAGTATTCATTCTTTTTTTTTTTTTGGTACAAACAGAGAAAGATGTTTATTTATTTATTTAGAACAGGCACAGGAGCTCAATGATTGCAGTATACTGGTACAGAGCATTATCATTTCAGAAGTAGTTCAAAGCTTAAAACTTCAGGTTCCAGTCAAACCTTTTAAACCCAATAAACGTTATTAATTATTAATAAAGTATTAATTATTAATGTATTAATAATTAATTTATTAATTAAATATTGGTTTCGTTTTTAACACATTATTTTTCATTAGAAGACAAGCTGCAGAAAACTAATGGGGGAGTAAAAAGAATCTTACTGAAAGTTATGCAGTGCCAAATGTGTAACCAATGCATATTAAAATACTGCTGAGCAAACATTAAGGGAATATCTCTTGTTCCCATCCCCTCTCCTGAAAATCTTATTTGTGATTTTTTTTAAAAAATTGAGGTTCAAGAACATTCGCAATAGCAATGAACATGCTTTTCTGTCAGGAGGAATCACAAGTACTTTGCCAGATTTCTTTGCAGTGAAATGTTGGTGTTCATATAGCATCCTGAAGTTAGACCTGGCTCTTTAAATTCACAGCAGAACGGACAACTCTGGAATGCCATGCTGAGACAAATCATTATTTTGCTTTCCCAGAAAACTTGAATGAGGGTATGGTGCCAGTTTTAGAGGAGATAGCATGGAAACTTCATACTGATGTTATGAGAAAATAATCAAGAATATTCAGCAAGTGATTTATTGAGTACCGGATGGTAACTTTCCATAACCTATACTTACCGAGGCCAAGCTCTGCACCGAACCAGAATATTTACTGAAGAGACTTCCATTTGCATTTAAATAGGATTGAAATCCTTTTTCTTTAGCTGAACTCAGTGACAATGATAGGTTTTGTCTACTGCTGGAACAACTGGATCCTGAAGAGAAAAACAGATTATGCATGTCTACTCAAGAGAAAGTTCCATTATTACAAGTGGCACTCGTATATCACAACTGGGTTTTAAAGAAGAAACCCCTAAAACTGCAGTTGTATTTGAACATTTTAAGATAGTAGAACATATAAAAACTGCAAACCTCTCATTGCAGGACTAATTACTGTTACGTCAGCTCCATTGGCTGCCAGTTTGCTACTAGGCCCAATTCAAAGTGCTGGCTTTGACCTATAAAACTCTAAACCAGTGGTTCTCAACATATGGGTCCCCAGGTGTTTTGGCCTACAGCTCCCAGAAATCCCAGACAGTTTACCAGCTGTTAGGATTGCTGGAAGTTGAAGGCTAAAACATCTGGGGATCCACAGGTTGAGAACCACTGCTCCAAATGGTTCTGGTCCAACTTACCTGCATGAATGTATCTCCCTTTATAAGCCTTCTAGAGCTTTAAGATCTGTTGGGAGGCCATGATCTCGGTCCCAACCCCTTCACAAGTACCACTGGTGGGGATGATAGGGCCTTCTCAGTGGTGGCCCTTCAATTGTGGAACTCCCTCCTCAGTGACATCAGGATGGCCCCATCCCTCCTGATCTTTTGGAAAAGGATAAAGCCCTGGCTCTGTACACAGGCGTTCAGAGAATGGGATATTATAGAATCGACCTCAATAGCTTGAATAATTACCAGGAGAAAATCAATAAGTATGGAAACCAATGACACGGCACCTTGCTATGTTTTTAATCTGCTATGTTTTGAATTTGTTTTATTGATTTTATGTGTGTTATTTTGTTTATATATTTTAACTGTTTACAGTGTGTTATGGCTTGTTTTATTATTGTTTATGTTGAGGCATTAAATTTTTGCCACCTTGAGTCCCCTGTGAGGTGAGAAAGGCTGGGTATAAATAAAGCAAATAAATAAATAAAATAATTGTATATTATACAATGCTAGCAAGGAAATACGAAGGACAACACCATTCTTGGTATACAAAGTTATGATTTTATTATCAGATTTTACTGATCACTTTTTCTAAGAAGGTGGTATGCATATTTTGCAAACATCAATATCTGAGGATGGCAGATAAGACAATAAGAGAGACTATGTGCATGTCTATACCGGGCCTGCTGTTAGGGGAAAATCCCCTTGTAACCTGAATGTTCCCATGACAAGCTCCCAAATTCTTCCACTGACAGACCAGGAAGGTACACACTAAAAAGCTATTTACTTAAATCTTATCTAAATACAAAAAGACCTTCTTTACAGATATGACATCATATCTACAGTTTCAAACAAGCGTGTTTAAAAGTGTGCACGCACTTCCTGCAGCCCAAAAGGAAAAGCCATGAACCCACTAACCCCATTGGTGAGTGCATGTGTGTTTTACTTATCTATAGATTAAAGAAGATGTTTAGGAACTGGCTGAGAACACAGTCTAGACAAAAACAGACCGATCACATAATATCCTTCTGAAATATATCTTAGTAGACGACCTGGTGACAGTGGGGATGAGTTTGGGGACAGATGCAAGTCAGGCTCCATAGATGCTTGTATCTCATTCCCATAGTTTCTGGGATGGTCACCCCAAAACCCACACATACTTTTAAGTAGAATCCATTGTCCCATGACATCTAGCTGATAGTTTTTGCTGGCAACCATAATTCACAGTCATTCTAGTTAAACTCAGGCAGTTTTTTTTTTAAAAAACCCGAACAACAGTGGTACTGTAGACTTTCAGTTAATTGGCACCCATGAGGATTGGGAGATGCTGGATAAATGTAGTTCTGGTTGCTGGAAAGTTACTTTTAAAAATAGGCCTAAACTAATACCATGGAGCCTCTGGTGGCACAGCGGGTTAAACTGCTGAGCTGCTGAACTTGCTGACCAAAAGGTCGGTGGTTCGAATCTAGGGAGCAGGGTGAGCTCCTGCTGTTAGCCCCAGCTTCTGCCAACCTAGCAGTTCGAAAACATGCAAACGTGAGTAGATCAATAGGTACCACTTCTGCGGGAAGGTAACAGTCCTCCATGCAGTCATGTCGGTCACATGACCTTGGAGGTACCTACGGACAATGCTGGCTTAGAAATTGAGATGAGCACCACCTTCCAGAGTCGAACACAAGTAGACTTAATGTCAAGGGGAAACCTTTATCTTTTACCTAATACTATACTCCATACTATACCATACTATAAACTCTGCACTGACTTGCTATTAATTTTGAAACACAGTAATTAAGATAAATACGTTTGCCTGTATTATAAAAACAGCTTTGTGAATGCAGTATTATTTCTTTGACTCTTTTGCCAGTTGCTTGAGAGTTCCAGTTGCTTGAGTTCCAGTTAACGGATAGTCTACTGTATATAGTTTCTAGATAACTTATTTATATCTCAATTTTTCATAAAAAAGCAAATGAACTATTTGCAATTTTATCCCATTCCTAACATGATCATCTCCACAGCTAAACCTGCTGTCATGTGCTGTATTGCACATTCTTATGAAGAAGCAAGCCCTACTGTGTTCAATGCAACCTTTTTCTCGGATATGTATGGATCTTATTTCGGGTATTTAGAAAACCATAGGTTTGGGATATTTCTTTTCCATAGACATATTGCTTACCTTTATCTGATGAAGACGTTTTCATGTGGTCTAACATCAAATGACTTGGTTCCCATGGAGATACTTTCCTGGCTTTCTTCCCACGTTTTCTTTTGAAATGATGGGCAAGGAACAGCACAGATACAGCACTCACTGCGGTTACCACAAATAACTTTTTAAGACCTGGTGAGATCTTAATCTGAAAAGAAATTGAAAAAGAAATATATCACACACACATTTCTGAAAGGATAGATTGGTTTATGCCTACTTTTAAAATTCATACTGGCAACATGACTCTCACACACATTCTATTTTAATTACAACTTCAATTTTGAAGCAGTACCAAGAATGTTTAAAAGCTCAAGTTCAACATATTGCTGGGAAACAATGTATATATCTATAAATTCAAAGAGACATATATTAGCATTTCTTCTAGCAGTAGCACAGGATATGTCATCTTTACATGTCTTCTTTCTGTCCCAATTTGGCAGGGTTGGTGCCAATTAATTCTTTGTTGTCTTTTTCAACTGAGTTTAAAATGTCCCATTTTCTCTCCTTCTCATCCCACTTTCCTCTTTCATCATGGCTTACTTACATTAGTACAAACTGAGGCTCCTTTTACATTGCTATATCATCCAGATTATCACAGAGAGTGGTCTACCCGCCTGCCTAAGGCGCTTCATTGGCTGCTGTTCATTTTCCGGCCCAATTCAAAGTGCAGGTCATCACCTGCAAAGCCCTGAATGGTTTGGGACCCGCCTACCTTCGTGACCGCATCTCCTCCTACAAACCTGCTCGATTCCTTCAATCTTCGGGGGAGGCCCTCCTTTCGCTCCTGCCTCTGTCACAAGCACAGCTTGTGGGGACCAAGCAGAGGGCCTTCTCCATGGTGACCCCTCGGCTCTGGAACTTGCTCCCCAAGGAGATTAGGCAAGCTCCCACCCTGGCTGCCTTTTTAAAAAAGTTTAAAAGTTTTTAAAAGTTTAAAAACCTGGCTTTTTCAGTGTGCTTTTGAGGTATGAACAAAAAATCCCCATACCATGCCATCTCAGTATAAATTGTCCTTCTAATGCACTTTATCTCATCCCTCAATGAAGGTGAACGCCATTGTTTATCCCACCTGAGTCTTCCACTAGACACACCATTCAATTTATCTATCTCACCCAGGGATTTTATAATTTTATCCTTTGCATTTGGCCCATTTCGCTTTGTTTAACTCTGTTATCATTTTATATTTTGTGTTTTTATGTTATTGTCATTATTTTTATTGTATTATTTTGTAATCATTTAGTATTTTATTTGATGTTTTGTCTGTTGTATGTATTTTGTTTTGCCTTATTGTAATTCTTGATCTTGGCCTCATGTTAGTTGCCCCAAGTCCCTTCGGGGAGATGGTGGCGGGATATAAATAAAGTTTATTATTAATATTATTTATTATTATCAAAACAGATAAACCACATTATCTGCTTTAAATTGGATTATCTGCATCTACATTGCCATATTATCTAGTTCAAAGCAGATCATCTAGATTTTATATGGCAGCGTAGAAGGGATCTGAGATCATAAATATTCTGAACTCAACATATTATGTAGCTAAAGCAGCTAAATAAGTACAATATTCCTGGGGATGCGAGTGAAAGTAAATTAACATTGAGATATAGTTTCCTTGGTACCAGTATCTATAATGCAGTGTTAGCTGTTGAGGTTCATTAGGAGTCCCACATTCACAAATGCGACAGATAGCCCATTGTGTCTCATACATAATGCTTTATCCACAGAAGTAAAATGTTGTGCTTCCAGATATTAACAGCTACAACCTTGGTTTCAGTATGAGATTACACAACTGCACACACACACACAAGTTGTGGATTCATGGCAGTACATTGAGCCACTATTCAGTGAAAAATCATCTGAGAAAGGGAAGTTGGATTTGAAGCATAAAGGTAAAGGTTTCCCCTCGACATTAAGTCTAGTCGTGTCCGACTCTGGGGGGTGGGGCTCATCTCAATTTCTAAGCTAAAGAGCCAGTGTTGTCCATAGATGCCTCCAAGGTCATGTGGCCGGCATGGCTGCATGGAGTGCCGCTACCTTCATGCTTAAGCAGTACGTATTGATCTACTCACAGTCATGTTTTCGAACTGCTAGATTGGCAGAAGCTGGGGCTAACAGCAGGATCATAAATATGATAAAGAAGTACATGGCCCTTTATTGATTTCTTTATAGCTATGTTCACTGGCTCAATGTATTTGAACCATAGCAATTTTGGAATGCTTTAGAAATTTGAAAAAGATATGCAAACTGCATATCGTCATATGTAATAGTCTCAAAAAGAGCAACTCAGGGACTCCTCAGCAGATTATCAGAAACAAAATGTATGTTATTCACCAGATATTTTTCACATATTGATGCAGCTGTTTAATTCTGGAAGTCCTGGTCTAACAATTAGATTTTACGTATAGTTATCTATGCATCCTGCTACAATTCAGGCATTATTATATAACAGTATATATTGTGTAAATAACATATCAGTCAGTATACCCTGTGATATGTTACCATTATGTCTGTATCTACTAGGGCAGGATCATTGGCTGCATTACTTCTAGGTGCCAAATATATCATTTAAACTGTTGTGTTGCCTACGCTGACATTTCTTAGCAACTTCTAATTCCTATGCCTGTGTTATTTGCCCTTCTCAACAGAGCCAAGAGCACTAGTGAAGCTGTAGTCCTTTCAAGACGTTATTTTATTCAACAGGCAACAATTGAGAAATGGTACATGGCTATCACAGAGAACACAAGAATAGCAGAGTTCAATAAACAGTGCTATATTTGCTGTTCCCTGGATCTAGACACCCTTCTGCACAAGCAAACTGGACTACTGCATAAAGCAAATTCGCACCCCCTTGAGTGTCTTCCCTGGATGTCACACAGTTACCCACATATTAGATTTTATTGCAGTACATAATTTGTCTGTATGCACATGCAATCACATTTCTAATGCATGGTATTTAAACAGTCAAATCATTTTTTATCTTATGATATACATCAAATAAGCTTGCTTGATTCTTTCACTCCTCATTGAAGTACAGTAGAGTCTCGCTTATCCAACATAAACGAGATGGCAGAACGTTGGATGAGCAAAAATGGTGGATAATAAGAAGGGATTGAGGAAAAGTTGATTAAATGTCAAATTACATTATGATTTTATACATTAAACACCAAAACATCATGTTTTACAAGAAATCGACAGAAAAAGCAGTTCAATACACAGTAACATTATGTAGTAATTACTGTATTGACAACTTTAGCACCAAAACATCGCAATGTATTGAAACAGCTGTGGATCCGGGCAGGAGGCAGACTGCGTTGGATAATACAGAACGCTGGATGAGCAAAGGTTGGATAAGCGAGACTCTACTGTAAATGAAATAAACCCTTTACTGTTCTAGACTGGAGAACATCAACACAAATGTAGTTAAATTTGGCCCACTACAAATCAATACTCACATCCATTACTGAGTCAAGAGTAATGTTTCTGAGTTCAATTGTGAATTATTGTGATGGTAAGAGAGCATTATTGCAGCCATTTTCCAGACTGTTAAGGCTCCACCCTAGCCTGCTTTATTTACATACGTGACACATGTCAACCTCTCCCACAAAACTGCCTATGCTAAATGAGATCTGCCTTTCTCAGTTCATAAAAAATAACAAAGTGTCACGATTAAGGCATAAATTAAGACAGAAAGAGCAAAAGTGAAATACGTAAACATTGCTAGAGCTATAGAAACAAAAAATAAACACTTCCTGAAGCTTTCAATTACACCCTGATGCAAAGGGTGTGGCTCTTAGCACAATAAATGTGTAACACAAAATACTTCATTTTTATAATGACGAGGTCTGACAATCCAAAATTTTGCTCAAAAACTATTTCACTTAAATATGGCACATAATTGTAGACGACATAAAATATGAGTAAATGTTATTAGTGCACTCTACAAAAAGCATTACAAAAAAGAGAAATGCAATAATTACCTGGGTTAGTGAATGGTACCAGGAAAGGGGAAGATCAAATACTCTTAAAGCTGTGGTCTTCAAAGAAAAAGGTGTCTCACCAACAGCGTCTTCTGACATGGCTCCTTCTTTCCCAAAGCATCATCGAGAGAAACTATGTCAAAATACTGGCATGTGATGACGAAGAAAGTCTGCCAATGAGAGAGACAGACCAGATTATACACTCCGTGCCTTGAGAAGTTTTTTCAGTAATGTAAAATTCTTCTGTCCAGAATTGAGATAGCACAAGGAAAGAAGACTGCAGTGGACAGTATGGGAAAAAACCATAAGATGGTTAGCCTTTCCAGTTTTAATGGGGAGAGGAATAAGGAGGCAATCATATAGTAAGCCCCACTGAATGCATTAGGATTTACTTTTGAATAGAAATGTACAATTGCATAGTAAAGTACCAATTAAATGCGGAAAAAATCACAAAATGCCCCACAAAGAATCACTTCCAATGCTCTGCAATGCCCAATGTTATTGACGAAGATGTAAAACACTATGTATGCTAATATTAATGAGAATGACCATTCTTACTGTGGCTGACCTGAGCTAGCTGCAAATATCTGGGGAATGTGAGAACAACTATTACGACATAAGGCTATTAAAAACGCACAATGTGGCTTTTATAGACATAATAGTTTTAGCTACCGTCAAAACATGCAAAGCAGAATATGAGGAAATAATCTTTCTGCAAGGAAAAAGAACTAAGGGTAATTGTTTTCAGGCTACAGGCACCTTTTAAAATCAGTCCTAAAATTGTGTTGTCGAAGGCTTTCATGGCCAGAATCACTGGGTTGCTGTGTTTTCCAGGATGTATGGCCATGTTCCAGAAGCATTCTCTCCTGATGTTTCACCCACATCTATGGCAGGCAACCTCAGAGGTTGATGGGTCTGTTGGAAACTAGCAAGTGGTGTTTATGTATCTGTGGAATGTCCAGGGTGGGAGAAAGAGCTCTTGTCTGATTGAGGCAAGTGTGAATGTTGCAATTGGCCACCTTGATTAGCATTTAATGACCTTGCAGCTTCAAAGCCTGGCTGCTTCCTGCCTGGGGTAATCCTTTGTTGGGACAGAATCCTTTGTTAGCTGGTCCTGATTGTTTCATGTCAGAAATTTCCCTGTTTTTTTTTTTAGTGTTTTTATTTACTGTCCTAAAATTATTTTGCTGGTTACCAAGAGCTTTTTCGATTTTTCAGAGAGAACCATGTGGCAGTCATCCAAGAAACTTTTACTCCAACTTCGCACTAGGGCTGGCTCTTCATTGTCATATCATCCAGTTTCTGAATCCACATTTTCTGCTTTGAACTGGATTATGTGGCAGTGTAGATGGGATTTAAGATTCTTTAGTTTGAGCAGGAGTTGTAATTAAAGGGGGGGGGGCATAAATGAAAGAGTACATTGCCTTTGGATTTCATCACTGCAGTAGAAAGTAAATGCCATTACAGTGCAGTGAATCCATGATGTCTGCTGGGTTTTGGTCTAAGACCCCGCATAGATACCAAATCCATGAATGAACCATTATATACAATGGGGTAGTAAAACAGTGCCACTTATATAAAAACAGCAAAATCAAGGTTTGCCTTTTAGAATTCATTTTCTTGGGAGGAATATTTTCCAAAAAGCCATGGATGATGGAATCTGTGGATGCTGAATCTGTGGATATAGAGGCTTGCCTGAATTTATGAAGGGGTGGGTGAGAAACATTTAAAAAACAGAAGAGTTTCTAAAGATAATTTGTGATTACAACAGACTGGCTAACTCAAGCATGGGCAAACTTTGGCCCTCCAGGTGTTTTGGACTTCAACTCCCACAATTCCTAACAGCCAGTTGAAGTCCAAAACACCTGGAGGGCCAAAGTTTGCCCATGCCTGATCTATACTGTAGACATGATGAGGTGCCACTATTTGTAGGATAATACATTTGATTAATAAAGGCAGAGCTCTCTTGGTCATCATATTTCAGGAGACCCCGGTGGCGCAATGGGTTAAACCCCATCTGTCAGCTCCAGCTTCTCATGCAGGGACATGAGAGAAGCCTCCCAAAGGATGGTAAAACATCCAGGCATCCCTGGGCAACGTTCTTGTAGACAGCCAATTCTCTCACACCAGAAGCGACTTGCATACTACATGTGTTGCTATAGCCTTAATTCAGATCTTTACCAAACCGTGGATGGAGGGGTGATTCTCATCAGTGTGGTATTTGGGCAACCATACAAGATAAAGGTTTCCCTTGACATTAAGTCCAGCTGTGTCCAACTCTGGGGGTTGGTGCTCATCTCAGTTTCCAAGCCGAAGAGCCGGCGTTGTCCGTAGACACCTCCAAGGTCATGTGGCCGGCATGACTGCATGGAGCACTGTTACCTTCTCGCTGGAGCGGTACCTATTAATCTACTCACATTTGCATATTTTCGAACTGATAGGTTGGCAGAAGCTGGGGCTAACAGTGGGAGCTCACCCCGCTCCCTAAATTCAAATAGCCGACCTTTCGGTCAGCAAGTTCAGCAGCTCAGCGGTTTAAACCACTGCACCACAGGGGGCTGCATACAAGATAAAGGATACCCCTTTGTTGTTGTTTTCAATTAAAGAAAAAGACCCTACAACCTCTGAGGATGCTTGCCATAGATGCAGGCGAAACGTCAGGAGAGAATACTTCTAGAACCTGGCCATTTAGCCTGAAAAACCTACAACAACCCAAAGAAAAAGACAACGTTACAACCTTGATTGGTGGATCACAAGATTGTGTGATCTTTTGTGAGAAACCCACTGGTTATTCCTGCCCTCTTTCCCAAGAGAGTCAGTTGCCGGCTGACAGGGATTAGACATGTCTCTCCTCAGGCTGAAGGGCTGTCATATCTTTCCTCACAAAAAAGGAGAACGGCCTGGGGGGGGGGGGTTACCTGTCAGGTGTGTCAGGTGTCAGAGCTCCTCGGGTCCCTCCTTTGCACCAAGCGGGCACTCTTGCAGCGGCTAAAATGAAGTCTGGGAGGGAACAACCACAGAGAGAGGAAAAGCAGAGCACTGCATCTTTCCTGGGTTGGGCAGAGGAACACAGACTCTACATCAGTCTTTCTGAAGGGCAACAGCCAATGCGCCAGCCACTCGCTTCTCAGCAAAAGGCTTCACTTACTGGTTTGTGGCGGAGGAGGATTCAGCTCCATTGGGCCTGGCTGCAGTTTGAGGCATGCTCTGCAGATGTAGGTGTCTAGAGCCCATGGCGTGAGGCTACTCAATCTTACTGCTTGACTCAAGGCAACCTTATCCAAGGATAAGGTAGCCAACAGCAAAAGGTTTTTATGGCACCCGAAAGACTCACAGGTTTTGGGTCATATAGGCTTTTTGTGAACTCCAACCCACTGTTTCATGCAAAAGCTGCAGGGTAGAGAGATACAATTAACTGGAATATAGGCTCACCTGGAGGGCCACAGTTTGTCCATGTTAAGATTGTCATCCAGATGGACATATTTTCACCTGTAGCACACGACAAATGTATTGAATGACAAAATAACATTAATATAATAATAAGCCAAGCTAGTAGTTCAAAAACATACAAATGTGAGTAGAGCAATAGGTACCGCTCCAGCGGGAAGGTCACGCCGCTCCATGCAGTCATGCCAGCCACATGACCTTAGAGGTGTCTACGGACAACGCCGGCTCTTTGGCCTAGAATCATAGAGTTGGAAGAGACCTCATGGGCCATCCAGTCCAACCCCCTGCCAAGAAGCAGGAAAATTGCACTCAAAGCACTCACAACAGATGGCCATCCAGCCTCTATTTAAAAGCCTCCAAAGAAGGAGCTGCCACTACACTCCGGGGCAGAGAGTTCCACTGCTGAACGGCTCTCACAGTCAGGAAGTTCTTCCTAATGTTCAGATGGAATCTCCTTTCTTGTAGTTTGAAGACATTGTTCTGCGTCCTAGTCTCCAGGGAAGCAGAAAACAAGTTCGTTCCCTCCTCCCTATGACTTCCTCTCACATATTTATACATAGCCTAGAAATTGAGATGAGCACCAACCCCCAGATTCAGACACGACTGGACTTAATGTCACAGGAAAACCTTTATCTAATAATAATAATAATAATAATAATAATCGTAGTCATCATCAATTATTTATATTCTGCCACCATCTATCAGAGGGACTCGGGTGGCTCACAAAACGCTCAAGGTGTGACATGCAAAATACAACAGTGCAAAACCAAACATACGAGTAGACAATCAAATTAAAATATAAACAATATGATTAGCATTGATACTTTAAAATAAATGATAACGTAAATTATTGTACACAGATGAATGCAGATAGTTGTACACAAGGGGGAAATGACGTCCCCTGAAAATAAAACCGAATACATCAAAAATTAATATAAGATAGGGTCTTTGTTTAAAGGGAAATAAAATATGAGTCTTAAAGGCAGAACAAGCTTCTGCTGAATATCCCAAGAGTCAGATTCCAATGGAATTAAGAGTGCAGCTACACAATAGGTTTAATGCAGTGTGGTATCACTTTAACTAGCATGGCTCAATGCAATGGAATCCTGGGAGTAATCATTTGGTGAGGCACAGCACTCTTTGGTAGGGGAGGTTAAAGGCCTTGTACATTACTTCAAGTCTTTTCCTGACTTTCAAGAAACAATCAGGGCCAGCTATTCACCTCCGAACAAAGAATCCCTCCAGGCTGGAAGCAGCCAAGCCTTGAAGCTGCAAGGCTTTTCAATGCTAATCAAGGTGGCCAATTGCAATATTTACACTTGCCTCCAGCAGACAAAAGTTATTTCTCTCACCCTTGACATTCCACAGATATATAAACCCCACTTGCCTAGTTTCCAACAAACCTCATAACCTCTGAGGATGCCTGCCATAGATGTAGGTGAAACGTCAGGAGAGAATGCTTTTGGAACATGCCCATGTTGTTGTTCATTTGTTCAGTCGTCTCCGACTCTTCGTGACCTCATGGACCAGCCCACGCCAGAGCTCCCTGTCGGTCGTCACCACCCCCAGCTCCTTCAAGGTCAGTCCAGTCACTTCAAGGATGCCATCCATCCATCTTGCCCTAGGTCGGCCCCTCTTCCTTTTGCCTTCCACTTTCCCCAGCATAATTGTCTTCTCTAGGCTTTGCTGTCTCCTCATGATGTGGCCAAAGTACTTCAACTTTGTCTCTAGTATCCTTCCCTCTAATGAGCAGTCGGGCTTTATTTCCTGGAGGATGGACTGGTTGGATCTTCTCGCAGTCCAAGGCACTCTCAGAACTTTCCTCCAACACCACAGTTCAAAAGCATCTATCTTCCCTCGCTCAGCTTTCCCTAAGGTCCAGCTCTCACATACATAGGTTACTACAGGGAATACCATGGCTTTGACTAGGCGGATCTTCGTTGCCAGTCTGATGTCTCTACTCTTTACTGCATGTATGGAACATGCCCATACAACCCGGAAAACTCACAGCAGCCATTTTCTGACTCACGGAGGCCCGAAGGTGAACTTATCACAGGTTTTTCTTGCCAGAATTGGTTAAGAAGGGCTTTGCCCTCGCCTCCCTCTGAGGCTGAGAGAGTGAGACTTTCCTATGGTTACTCAGATTACACTACACGGCAAGGTTGTCATAACCAACTCTCAAGTACAGTTGCTTCCCTTTGACAGTAAAAGGTTTTTTAAAAGTGTAGAATATTTGTATTTTGTAAAATGGAAAACAATTTCTCCTCTTGCAAATTTTTAATTAAGAATGTCAAATGTACTTTTATTTCTACTTTTGAAGAATGCATTACACTAGAAATCAGAACAAGGTACAAGCTGCAGTATTAAATCTCTGGATTTTTTTCTAATAATAATAATAATAATAATAATATCTTTATTTATCTTTATATAAATATCTTTATTTATATCCCGCCCCATCCCTCTGCAGGAACTCAGGGCGGCTTCCAACAGGACAAAATAAAATATACAAAATACAGCAATAACCTAATCAATATGACAGTACACCAATATCAATATGATCTGATACTCTGTTAGCCCATTCTTACATCCTGAAATAACAAAACAAAAAAATCCCCACTCTGTCCAGTGGGGTTGACTCCAAAGTGTGCACTGCTTTGCTGAAGAAGAAATTAAAAAATAGAAAATAATCTAAACTGAAAGGAAGAGAGGAAGGACTGAAAAAAAGAAAAAGCACACTCTCAAGCTGAGGCGTACGAAGCACTCTATTTGCTTTGGTATGTAAATCGTGACTATCTCTACATGCCGCTTCTAGGGAGGTGCTCGTTATAAAAAAAAGGGCGCGTCATGCTCCGCCATCTTTACTAGGGGAAAGATCTCTTGCACTCTTGTTTGCGGGAGGAAAAATCAGCTCTGCCATCTTTGTTAGGGGCAAATATCTCTTTCGTATTTCCGCTTTCGCCAAAGTCAGCGCCGCCATCTTTGTTTGGGGCGACAGAAGGGGCAGCGGTTTGGCAGGGAGCGGTGCTGCGCATGCGTGGAGAGCACACGCGGGGAGGAGGAGAGAGGGAAGACGCAGGAGGAAGTGGAAGGCGTCTCCTCTCTCGGTTGTCCTCCATCTCTGGCCGGCCTCAGCGGCGCGCGCAGAGTCCCCGGATGAGCCTTGGAGGAGACAGGTGAGGAGGAGAAGGAGGCGGCTGTGGTTGTGGGACTGAGAGAAATGGATTTTGCGCGTGAGTGTTGTGTCAAAACTGCACAGGGGAGAGCGACAGCCTCTGAGCACGTTTGCCCCTCTCTGAGGTCTGTAAGGTTTCATTTCCTTTCGCATAGTGTTGCAGCCTAAACTGGATTGAAAGGCTATTGGAGAGTCCTATTGGAAGGGCTCTGTGTTATATCCCTTCTGTGAGGGCATTTGGGGCAAGCTGCGGGTAAGAGATGCCTTTACTTAGAGAATTTATTTATTTACTTAGAGAATAAGCCTAAATACCCCAAAGGCACCAGATCCCTTTTAATCTTGGAAGCTAAGCAGGGTCAGGAGACCACCACTGAATAGAGCTTGAGGGCCCTTCCACACAGCCATACACCCCAGAATATCAGGGTAGGAAATCCCACAATATCAGCTTTGAACTGGATTATCTGAGTCCACACTCAAATAATGTGGGATTTTCTGCCTTGATATTTTGCGATATAGGACTGTGTGGAAGTGCCCAGAGTATCTCTTACCTGAAATGCTTATTTTGGGTTTATTTATTTATTTTGGAAATATATTTTCGTATAAACAATGGAACAATTGCTTATATGAAAATATAATGCCTCTGAAAATATAATGTCTCTGAAGAATCCTGCAATTTTTTTGGGAAGACAAATGTCAGCGTGCTGGAAGAAGCAAAGACCACCTGTATTGAAGTGATGCTCCTCCGCCATCAACTCCGCTGGACTGGCCACATTGTCCAAATGCCCGATCATAGTCTCCCAAAGCAGTTACTCCCAACTCAAGAACAGGGAACATAATGTTGGTGGACAGGAAAAGAGATTTAACTATGGGTTTAAAGCCAACTTTAAAAACTGGCATAGACACAGAGAACTGGGAAGCCCTGGCCCTTGAGCGCTCTAATTGGAGGTCAGCTGTGAACAACAGTGCTGCAGAGTTTGAAGAGGCACAAATGGAGGGTGAAAAGGCGAAATGTTCCAAGAGAAAACCAGTGTCCTCACTGCGGGAGGACATGCGGATCAAGTGTAGGGCTCCACAGCCACCTACAGACACATCGCCAAGACACCACATCTGGAGGTCCATCATTCTTGAGCTATGAGAGAGCGTCTAAGTGGATCTTGGAGATGAGACCCAAGTCAGAACACACCATTGCTGTATGTTTTTGTTCATGAAAGTAAATCCCTGCACATTGAACCCTCTGAAAGCAAAGGTGTCACTCTCTCAGCCACCTGTGTAGAAAAAAGTGGGATTTTGTAGTATTTTGGAATTCTGGATAAGGACTGATCAACTTGTATCAGGAGCCATAGGCTCTATTTCAAAAAATAGAAATGGGAAAATGACATCTTAAGACAATCCTATGAAATTCACCGTGGGGTTGTTATAAGTTGATAGGCGACTTGCAGGGATCTACTTACACACAGGAAATGCCTACTTACTTGCGGTTGATAGCGAGGCATTCACTTTTTGTTTTTTTAGGGAATACGTGTACAACAAGTGTTCAGTCCTGGAAATGCATGGAATCAGATATGGCTGTGAGAAGTATTTTACATTTACATTGTAATAAAGTGTTTTGCAATTTCAGATTGGACCTACTGATTTGGTTCTTTTATCGCCTGCAATTAAGCGATGATGATAAGAATAAGAACAATCACATCTGAGTACATGCAAAATGTCCTTTTCAAACTAGCCATTTGCATTGCTAATAAGGGCTCAAAAGACAAAAATGCCGAAACAGGTTTGAATCTAGGCATTCAGCTGGTCTTGGAAAAGAAATCCTGAATTGAAGATGTTATGATGAGTATTACTCAGTAACTTTCTACTTCCTACATGATGTTCTGTTATTGTTTGATATATGAAGGGTAAATGTAGCATTGATTGAAAGCTTAAGAGATAGACCACTTATCAGAGGAAAACATTTGGGAACAGAAAAATGGGTCTAGGTTTTGTCTTTACCAAGCTGAACAATTTTGATGTAAAGTGTGTTCTATTTACAGGGGGGCCTTCAGCACAACCATATAACCCAGAATATCAGGGCAGAAAATCCCACAATATCTCCTTTGAATTATTTTATAACCTGCAATTAAGCAATGATGATAAGAATAAGAACAATCATCTGAGTACATGCAAAATGTCAGTTTCAGACTAGCCACCTGCATTGCTAATAAGGGCTCAAAACACAACAATGCCCAAACAAGTTTGAATCTAGGCATTCAGCTGGCCTTGGAAAAGAAATACTGAATGGAAGATGTTATGATGAGTGTTATTCAGTAACTTTCTACTTCCTACATGTTGTTCTGTTTGATATATGAAGGGTGAATGTATCATTGATTGACAGCTTAAGAGAAAGACCACTTGTCAGAGGAAAAAAATTGGGAACAGAAAGCATGGCTCTAGGTTTTCTTTTCAACAACCTGAACAATTTTGATGGAAAGTGTGGTCTATTTACAGGGGGGCCTTCAGCACAACCATATAACCCAGAATATCAAGGCAGAAAAATCCCACAAAATCTGCTTTGAACTGGGTTTTCTGAGTCCACACTCAGATAATGTGGGATTTTCTGCCTTTATATTCTGGGATATAGGGCTGTGTGGAAGGGCCCTCAGATAATCCAGTTCAAAGCAGATATTGTGGGATGTTCTGCTGTGATATTCTGGGTTATATGGCTGTGTGGAAGGGCCCTGGGTTACCTGAGCCCACACAGGCATATATTCCATATATAAAGCAGAAAATGTGGGTTTTTATTGAGCTATGTGGAAGGGGCCAGAAGAGTTATTTGCCCTTTTCCCCATAGCATACTGCGGGAATTGTAGTTTAATGGAGGGATACAACAGGTGGTCTTCTCTACCTTCATATTTGTCCCACACACTGCTGGGTTTACTTTTTCTTCCCTACCCCTGCATGTTTTATGTGTAATAAAACATTTTAAAAAGATTACCTGAAACAAAGTATGTTGAAAGAGAACATAGTAACCTGTATGAAGAGGTACATTGATAAAATACCATCTTCTTACTGTCTTTTGACATAGTATAAAGGAGGCATGTGTTGCTGCATTGTAGAGGGAGAGAAAGGGGTTGTTGTGGAACTTCTTTTCATGTTATTACCTTGCCAGTTCAGATATTTTCCTTAATAAATAGTTGGGACTGTCCTTTTGTGCTGCAGAGCAAGGTTTGATATACAGGATGGTTAAAATCACCACTGCAGCTTGCAGTAGTGCAGGGGCAGCAGTTCTGCTGCAAAAAAAATCAATCTGCAGAATACACTGCAGAACGGCAGATTCTCAACACCAACACCCCCCCCCCCAATGAAACTGAGTGCAGGCACCATGGAGCAGATTTTAGCATTATTTTTAGATACTTGCAACTGCTTCTGTTTTAACAGGACACATACCAAATTTAATAGAATGCAAACTTGCATTATATATTTTTGTGTGAAAGACAGCTCTGTTGGGAAAAGCAAACAGGAATAACTGGACAGTAGTCCTCAGAAAAAATCGAAAGGTGTTTAGGGGCTCCTAGTCTTTAAGACTTAAGATTCTATATCTAAGTTGTTGATTCATCATCACTGATTTGTACTGCACTTTTGTTTTGGATGTAGTAAGGAACGGGAAGACAGTATTAGATGATAGAATTACTTTATTTCAACACGTCTGTATATGCTGTGAGGAGATAAATTTGCTGAAGAAAATTTTGTATGATTGTTTCAAGAATCCTAAGTAATTATGAATAGAGAACATTTACAGATGCTCTCATCCTGAATCGTAATGTCCACCCACCCATTCTGTGAGAAGATATGGACTACAAACAGATGGAAAGATGAATGACATTTGCTTAAAAAATGAAGGAGAAATGTCAGGAAAAGCAGAAGCTGTTTTTCTTAATGTTACACAGATTGTGTTGTTAAGTGTTTTAAGGACTGCATTGGATATATAGCATGACCCACGTATCTGTGGTTTAATTTATCCACATTTAACATAATATGTACTCTAGACATTTTCTAGATCTTCCAGTGTGACATTATGGTATTCTTGGGCCAGATGTCTTGGGGTTAGGTACTATCTGTGGTTTCACTGATCCACGCAAGGCAGGGAATGTATCCCCTGCAGATACAAAGTGTCACACTAATTTCATCTGTGAAAGTACCAAAGTTTAAACCTCTTTCTTGGAATGTTACTAAATACCATCTAGAAATTATAATTTTGTAGAGATAGTGTTTGTGTATCATGTAGATGCACAGTTCATTGATAACTTCCAAAAAACCATACACAATATTGTAGAGAAGAAATATCACATAAATGCAGTGGTCTTGCTAGAGTATCATTGAAGGGTCTATCTCTGAATGTATCTGTCCTTATGAACCATCTAAGAACTTAAGATGTCTGGGGAGGCCCTGCTCTCGATCCCATCTTCTTTGCAGGAGCGTCTGGTGGGGGCGAGAGACAGGGCCTTCTCAGTGGTGGCCCCTCGGCTGTGGAACTCCCTCTCTAGGAATATTAGATCAGACCCTCCCTCCTGACTTTCCGAGAAAAAGTAAAAACCTGGCTCCTTGAACAAGCTTTTGGCAATGCAGCGTAATAGATAAATATGGAACTATGAAAGAGTGAACATGGAACGGCTAGACAATGCTACTGGAAAAATGAGTTTAGTAGGAAGACACTGGTGATTATATGTTTTTAATGGTTTTTTTGTATGGATTTTTATAATGTGCTAAATGTTTTTTTATTTGTATTTTATGACTGTTGTGGCATCAAATTGCTACCAATTTGTAAGCTGCCTTGAGTCTCCTTTGGGCTGAGAAAAGCAGGATAGAAATACTGTTAAAACACACACACACACACAAGCTTACTTTGAATATTGGAGTGTGCTGGATCAATTCAAAGACCTCTCATCATACATTCAGTTTCCTTGGTAGCCATTCAAATTTCTATGTGAAATTCAAAGGCGCGGATCAGCTTGATGTAGTGGTTTGAGTTTTGGACAGTGACTCTGAAGACCAGTGTTTGAAGTCGTACTTAGCTATGGAAACTCACTGGGCAATCTTTGACAAGTCACATTCTCCAGCAGCAGAGAAAGACTGAGGCAAAATCCCTCTGAACAAGTCTTACAAGGAAAACCCCAAAATAGGTTTATCATAGTTTTACCATAAGTCAGAAATTATTTAAAGTCACACAAAAACAAATCCAGAAGCAGGACATTAGCATTACACTCTTTTAGTTACGTTCCACATCAGTGATATAAGAAGTAATATATAGCCCTCATGATTAGTACTCACTGATGGCCTTATTCTCCATGATATTTGTCCAGCCTTCTCCTAAAGCTGTCCAAGTTGATACTGCATCTTGTGCATTCCCTGGGTCTATGTGTTGTTGCACATTTGTTCTTTGGGTCTTTACAATTTCCACAGTGGAGTAAGACACAAGGAATTTGTCTTTTTCAACTTCATATTTTCTTCTAGGATTTCTATATTGACTGTTTGCCTCCCTAGCAGTTAACAGTCTAATGTATTTTAGGATTTTAAAAGAATTGTTGGGATGTGATAACTATCATTGCCAAAGTTATTGTACATTGCTATTTATTTTGAATACTTTACCAAGCAAAATGTATCCTTATACAGTGGCTCACACAAAATCATTAACAAACACCCTCTTGTTATTGAAGTGAGTACTATATATACCATTGTTTGTTGATGCAGGGGGGGGGGGGCAGAAGTATGTCTCATTGAGTACTACCTAGGTCAGTGGTTCTCAACCTGTGGGTCCCCAGGTGTTTTGGCCAACAACTCCCAGAACTCCCAGCCAGTTTGCCAGCTGTTAGGATTTCTGGGAGCTGAAGGCCAAAATATCAGGGGACCCACTGGTTGAGAACCACAGATCTAGGTTTATAACAGGGCATGATGAAAACTTGTTTACAGGGAGATTTGCACATTAATTTGTTGAAATTCATAAAACTCTTTAAAGTGGTCTTAACATGCAGGTTTATATGCTATAATGTGTGCCCAGCCAGTGTGCCATATTCCTTAAGAGCAGATATTATTCCAATATTTGGCTGAAATACAGTTCTCATTGGCCCTGATCATAGTCCACTCTGGCTATTACTGAAGGATACTGGAACCCTAGAACATCTGAAACCATTTATATCTCACCCCAAATGATTGGTTTTAGATTTGGGAATCTGATTTAAATCCTACTTAACCATCTTAAGTAAATTATTTTCAAGCTGACTGACCCAATCCTGTTGTAAGGAAAATTCTGTCTTTTTCTGGGAAGAATAATAGGCATGAATTTTGATGCTCAATCGCTTTCTTTCTCCAGCTGCTGCATTTAGGCAAAATGATGTTCTCGCATCACTAAACAAACCTTAGATCTCATATAATTCTTTCTTTTCTTCTCCAGTGTAGCTGCAAGGAATAGATTCGAAAATTTTGCTGCTTTTTAAATTTAACTGCAACTACTTAGTATTTTTCCTAAACTTTAAGCTAATCATTATGGTCTATTGAAATAAGCCATAAACTGTCATTTAAGGTCAGTCTATTTTAGTCCATTGTAGTTAAGGAACTTCAGTTTAAGGTTTCAGCTGCATCACTAAACTGTGTAATCAAAGTGAAAGTGTCTAATGTCCTCACACTTGTAGTTGAAAAAAGTTGGAAAGGACTGACTGATCCCAAGCTTGTCTAGACTCATTGCCATAATATTTAGCAATAATTTCATGTAACATCTGAACACAGACAATGTCTCTCTTACTTAGCTATGCTGTGTTCATTGTGGTGATGAATAATATTGGAGTACTTTTGAGAATTGCTCTTAAGATTAGTGAACCTAACCTAAGTAAATGAGGGTTTGAAAGTTAGTCTTGACCGATGATTCTTTTAGTGGTGAATTCTGTTTCTCCAGATCTTGAAAACTAAAAATATGAGCACGGTTAGTCCACAAGAGTAGGGCTCACCCCCATCCTCAGTGGAATAGAGAACTACTGGGTCAAGAGCAAGAGTTGTAGTGTGTTGGTAAAATACATTACAGTTCATTATAGTACAGATTATTTGGGGTTTTTGACATTAAATATGAGTTGTTACATTTTCTCTTGGGTCTGATATCTACACTTAGATGCACAATTGTATTGTTTAAATAATGAAGCAAGGTTATTATTCTCCTTTGCTAAAAAATTCTTACAAATATTTACACAGTTTTCAGGAATACTTTTAAATTGCTGAATTTTGATTTTTTATTTGAATTTGAATGTTGATTCTTGAAATCTTTCCTTTTAATATTTGGAATTGGCCCATTTAAGTTCTAGTAAATATGATTTGGATATCAATGATTTTCAATTCCTAACATCTGGTAAAACTGGCTGGGATTTCTGAGAGTTGAAGTCCAAAAAACCTGGAGGACCAAAGGTTGGGAAAAATGTAGTGTTTAATTATTTTCGGCCTTTGTCTTAATTTAAAATATTTATCAGAGTCCTAGATTCTGTGATATGAAACAAATCTGTAAAGTAAACTGTTGATCTATTTAGAGAAGTCTCAATTTACATTTTCGTGTGGGGTCAAAAGTACTTTATAGGCACATGCTGTATGCCCACCTTTTATTGTTTTGCTATTATAAACAATTTAAATTACATAATTTGGTTTTAAATGTTGGTTCTTCTAGTTACCCCTCTGAGTACAATCATTCTGTTTCTTTTCAAGATGTAGATAATACCTGGGCCTGAAAGCAACTCCTCTTAAAATGTCAGCTCTAAGCAATGATTGCTCACATTTGGAGTCTGTTGGTGAAATCACTAAAGAAGACTTAATACAAAAATCTCATGTGAGTCTCAATTGATTAGATTATTAATTTCTTAATTATTTTTAATTAAAGGACAACTCCTGTCATCTATTTTAGTGCAAGTGTTCTAAAAGGCAGATGCTTGTCTTCTTAAATGGATGAAACCATTGCTTTTTCAATCTTGAGATGTGGAGATTATTTATTTTCTACATCTATTCCTGTATCTTGAGTGAATTGTATTTAATGTAAGATTTTTATGCAGTTACTGTTTTTATTTTTATTTTGAGGCAGGGAATTTAATATTGCTTTTAAATGTTCTACTTTTGAGCAGGAATCCTATACAGGTAGTCCCCAAGTTGCGAACAAGATACGTTCTGTAGGTTTGTTCTTAAGTTGAATTTGTATGAAAGTTGGAACAGGCACATTTTTAAAGTGTAACTCCAGATACACATACACATGCACACATGAGCTTTGGATAGCATTGGGAAGGGTTCACACCCCTGTAGTGTCCATTTTGCAGTCTGTACCCCAATTCAGAGATTTCACCTCACTTTCTGTTTCTGTGATAATTGTATTTTGAAAAAAAAATGGTTTGTTTTGGAAAGACGAATTGGAGATAAGCTTCAGTGGAGACACCTTTTCCCCATGGTCACTCTTTCTGGAGTGAATTCCTCTTCTTAGGGGTAGATTTATCTCATTTCATGTTGTCTCACCCCCGTTTTTAAGTATGAGTTGATTATAAGTTGGATGTTTGTAACTCAAGGACTGCCTGTATATACAGTATATTCTGGCGTATAAGACTACTTTTTAACCCAAGAAAATCTTCTCAAAAGTCAGGGGTCGTCTTATACATGGGTGTAGTTTTATGCATGGGAGTCGTCTTAACTCTATATTTTAACTGGAAAAGTTGGGGGTCGTCTTATACGCCCAGTCGTCTTATATGCCGGAATATACGGTACTTTACTAGAAATAAATTCTATTACATTCAATAAGAGTTATTTATTTATAGATACATATAGCTATGCATTTCTTAGTATATATTATATAGATATGCATTGTTCAATCTAGAATATGAAATAAAAATTGCACTCTGCAGTATAAGTTTTTATTAGATATAATGAAAGAAGAAACTGCATAGGACCTCCATGGACTACTAGAACCAAAAATAGAGAACAGTAATGGATTTCATGGAATAGAGTTCATGTATGTGTTTTCCCTCCAATTGAGGGCAAATTATCCTCTACTTAGCAAGTTACAAAATATTTAATTCTCCCAAGAATAATAATAATGTGTGGCTATTGTCTGCCTTTCTTACACTTTGTTTCACATTAATTTTATTAATTGCATAATTCTCTACCATTATTATTAGGGCACTTGCCAGGACTGTAAAATAAAAGGACCCAATCTTTGGGCATGTTTAGAGGTAAGCTGAACTTTTTTTTGAGCTGTTATTTGAAGAAATCACTGTTAAATTCACTTTTATATTCACATCTAGCATGCTAGCAGTATTAAGTTAGCAACGCTTAAGTGGATGAAAATAATTCATAAATAATTTGGGAGAAAGTCATTTGCATTTGCCTTAATATTTCTTAATATTAGATGTCTTTGCTTTGGTGGTCATTAAAAGTTCAATGTTCTTTATTATAATAAAGGTTGCAAAATATAAGAGTATCTTTATTATGTTCAAGTGATTGTATCAATACATTCGTTTTACATATGCATAAAATAAAACATTTAAAGTGTTACTTAAAAATAACAATTGATGCATAATAGATTTAGGGATGCCCCTCTCTATGTAAGAATGAAATAAGGAACTTATAAAATCTTTGACTTGTTGAATTGAATGTCTTATTGTGCTTCTTTTAATAAATGCATAGCTCTCGATTGTAATATAAGCTCTATAATGGTACAAGTGTTCAGAGGTGCTTGAGGTCATCAGTATTGCCACGTCTAGCATTGCTCCTAAGATTGTGCTTCTTACAGCTTTTACCATAATATCTAATATGCAAGCATCAGAAGAAGATACTTAGTTGTGATTTAAAATAATGCTGAAAAAGTACGTTGCAGAGCTATTAAAATCAGTTTTCATTTTGTTGGCTTTCAGAATAGCTTTTACACTTGAACCAGAATTAAAAATCACTATAGTGTTCCTTTCAACTGGAAACCTCTTATGGCACTACATAATTCCCTTTCATTTTCAGAAGCTTTCAGCTGAATCTGGATAACTCTAATTAAGCTAAGAATATAAACATCTTCGACATGTGTGGGGAACTTGTTGAAGACTGAACTGCTTAAGATATAATGTGTTACAGCTTGTTAATAATTATTTTGCTTTGTCTGACAGAATCGATGCTCATATGTTGGTTGTGGAGAATCTCATATAGATCACAGCACCATACATTCTCAGGTATTTGTGTGTGTTTGTCTAAAGTATAGTATTATATTGTCAAAACTTCTGAAAATTTTCTAGTGTGCTGGGAGAATGTTCATTACCATGTTTTCATACTGCTGTTTTATTAATATAGATGATAAAAAGGGGATAGGTTGAAATTAGAATTTGGATTTCAACTGTGTATGAATAGTTTATATTCAGAGTCTGTAATGACTAAATCTTAACACATAGTTATAGTATTAATTGTGTTGGGAATTACTTTAATAACTTGGTCATCTTGTTTATTAGTAAATGATATAGTGTGATCCAATGGATGGTAAATGTGCACTAATCTCCATAATGTGCAACAAAACACATTTATTTAAAGCGGTATTGTGAGAGGCTTTATTTATTTATTTACAGTATTTATATTCCACTTTTCTCACCCTGCAGGGGACTCAGGGCGGATTACAATGCACATATACATGGCAAATATTCAGTGCCATTTATACATACAACACATATAGACAGACACAGAGGCAATTTAGCATTCCAGCTTTTCTGGCTTCATGAGGGTATGCTCGATTCCGGCCACAGGGGGAGCTGCCACTTCACTGTCTGCTTGTGACACTGAGTCCTTTGATTGAGTACTTCCTCATACTTCTGCATGCTGCTGGAAGGTTTTATGCCATCATAAATTAGTTAAATTAGCCTCCCCGCATAAAGCGGTACCTAAATTTCCTACTTGACAAATGCAACAGTCTTTCGGGCTGCATAGGTCAACAGCAAACTAGATTATTAATGGTCAGGAGTTTACTCTGACCTGGGCTGGCTTCAAACTCATGACCTCTTGGTCAGTAGTGATTTAATGCAACTGGCTACTAACTAGCTGCGCCACAGCCCAGCTCATTACATTCAAAGTAAGAGGTTGTGTAAAATCTTTACCAAGATTGTTTGGGAGATTATTTGAGAATTGTACTTTCTTGCACCAAAGATGTTATAATGCAGAAAGCTGATGTAAGGAGGAGGTGTATGATTGCAAAACACTATTAAAAGTATAACTAGCACAACCACATTCTTTTGTGGCTCTATTTTTAAGATAGGAAGTAGACTTCTTGTAGCAAGAGAAACAAAAATTAATGACACTGATCTGGGCATGAAATCTTTTGAAATAAGATATCAGTAACCTACAAGTATAATTAGCATGTTCTCATGTTTATAGTTGAGTTACCTTTTATTGTATAGGGTCAAATAATGCAAGAAACTTTATTATCTAATTCTTTTTCATCAAACTCCCAACTTTATCAGAAGCAAAAATTCCTTGAACAGGTTATTAATACTATTGGAAGATTAGATAAAGTACCTAACCAATTCCTTTCTGTGTTCAAAACACATGATCCAAAGCATTATTGATGTAATTCTTGAGCTGATATTAGTAAAGTAGTTTAACATACTATGTAAGATTAAAATAAAAGAGTAAAAAACCCTAGTGTTTTCATAATTCTCAAGCAAAGCCAAAATAACTGGAACCTGCAAAGAAATAAATTTATGTGACACTGACCTAGAGATATGGAAAAGTGTATTGTGTTTACACAAAAAAACCCTAAAAATATTCTTTCCTGGAGTGCAGATTAAAAAATCAAGGATTTCATTCTTCTTTCCTGTCATAGTTCTTGTTCTGCGCTTGAGAGAGAAGTAAAATGTTTTGGAAAATCCCATCTCTTTTTCACCCGCCATCTGAGTGAGATTAGAAAGAAGGATGCATATATGTGAGCGCATCCGTGCAACACACACACACACACAGAGAGAAAATGAAGGAAATATAAGCCTTTATATGAGCTATAAATTAGACCCACTCTACCACTCATTGCAATCAACAATACTGCACAAGGACAATTCTCTCTGATAAACATAGACAGATCAATTGATTTCCTCAGAGCCCTGTTCTGCCACCAAAGAACCAGATACTCAAACAAGTCAACAGACAATGGTGCCTTTTAGCAGTTATGACATTTTCCCTAGTTCTGAAGAGCTGCTAGGCCAGTGCACGGGGTAGGTTTCCTGTATTTTATTTGGAAAAGGCATGATGAATCTAGAGAATCTCACATAGGGAGAAAACATTTGATCTGCATGTATTCAGATATAGGAAGGAAACATAACATTGACTTGTATGCTTTCACCTGCTGTTGTATAATGACACATCTGCAGTTCTGTTGCTTTCTAATCTTATTCATTCATCTTGTCCTGATTACTTATAACCAGACTTAAGGTGAGAGTATAGGAGAGCTGCCAGAAGCAGACAGTCCAAATCATTTTACACCCAAACGAGTACAAATCGTTTTACACAAAGCCTCCTCTGCAATGGAAGTTGGAATGTGTATGTTGCAAATTTAGTTTGTGCTGTGTTCAACTTGTTTTCCATAACATGCATACTTGACAACAGAAGTCCGTGGAAATAATGACTTCCATGTCCTCTAGCTCCAGCCCATGGCAGTAAATGATAATTGCTCAATCTACACAGGTCACATCTGGATGTTACCTGCAAAAATTTTATCTGAAATATGAGATGCAACACAGCATCCGTCTTATCTGCATTTGAGGAGATTATCTGCTGTTTTTACTGCTTTTCTAGTTATAATTTTGGGAAGAGTATTCAAGAAGCCTTACCTTCTGTATTGGTTATTCTTACAAATAAAAAAAATTGATTTTGTTACTTTTCTTATGTTCACTGATCTTTTTTTTTTTAAAGGAAACAAAGCACTGTCTGACAGTTAATCTTACGACGTTACGTGTCTGGTGTTATGCATGCAGCAAAGAAGTGTTTCTTGATAGAAAACTGAGATCCCATTCTTCGCTGCAAAATGTACGGCTGTCTCACCAAACTCCGGACATCATCATGCAGGTAAGTAGGCAAATAATTCATTTAGGATTTTATATGAAAATAGCTTTGTAATTGGTTTTCTTTCTGTTTCCATAGAGTTTGTAAAATGTTTTGGGAAAAAAAATTATTCAAGTGTTTATACTTTCTATACAAAAGTATTCAGATGAACACTTATAAGAAAATTTTATGAAAAATGTGAAAATTCACACAGGTATTCAGTTATAAGCTCCTAATAATGTTATTTCCCATGTTTTATATTACTTACGTTATATGCGCAATAGTCGTCTAAGGTTCACATATGTTGCTTTAATGTTGTTTTAAATTGTTGTTGTTCAGGCATAGAATAATGCCACTTATATAAGCCACCTTGAGTCCCCTTCGGGGTGAGAAGGGTGGGATTTAAATGTTGTAAATAAATAAATGATAAATTATGTTATATATTTTCTCTACTCAGAATTGTGCATGTATTTGTAATATGGGAATTAATTTTTGTTTGCCTACTGGGATGATGGGAGCTCTAGTGCAACACTTCTGAAAGTTGGGGAACTCTAGACAAGTCTGTCTATGAAGTAACAGCTACTTTTATACTAAGAAAGCTTGTTATATGAGTTCAAAAACTGATAGCATTATCTATACTACCATATAACACAGTCAGTGTATATTCATATAATGTAGTTGAACTGTATTATATGAGTGTACACTGCATTATATGTCAGTGTAGATGGCAGTTTCAGGGAAAAGCTTACGTTTGGTTTGATCGAGAAGACAATAATTGCTTACATCCAAAGGTAAGGTATCTATTGCAAAATGAAAAAATATTTCGAGTGCACGTGGCAGCATGGATCCGTAACTTCTGCTGCCTTGTTTGACCTCTTGCCAATTGGAAAGCATTCAGTGTCTCTGTATTGTGTTCTGGCAGTAGTTTTTTGTCCTGGATACAGGTTGCTTGTTGGGACAATGAAATGTTGTGGCACACCCGATTTTTCATTATCTACATAATCAAAGGCTTTGTTGCAATTTATAAAGCACAGGCTGATCTTCTCCTGAAGGGAGGAACTGGGAACTCCTTCCTTTTCCTTGCCTGCCTACTGGCTTGCTGCCTAGGGAGAGGTAGGCAGTGAACAAGTGGGCAGGTGGAGAAAGGGACAATTCAGCAGGAGGAGAAAGGGAGTAACCAGAAGGGCCTTCCTTTCTCTGGCTGCTTCATTGCTCAGAACAGGGCACCCCTTCCTTTCTCTGCTTAGCTGCTCACTTAGCAGGAGAGGAAGACAGTGAGCAATTGGACAGGCCAAGAAAGGAAGAGAAGCACTGGGTGGCCTTTCTACACCTCCCCTTGACCTTCTTCACTAGGTGGGGATGCAGGGGGGAAGGCAGCAAGCAAATGGGGAGGTGTAGAAAGGAAGGGGCTCCCGATTCCTCACTTCCTTTATCTGTTTGACCATTTCTTTCCTCCACCCGAGCACCATGAAAAGCTATGGGCAGGCAAAGAAAGGAAGGGAGGAACTAGGCACCCAAGTAGAGGACAGCTGCAAGGAAATGGTTAGGTGGACAGAAAAAGGCAAGGAGGAAGCCGGTGGCTGGACATCTTGCCATAAAGAAAAGGCCCTGGCAGAGCAACAGCTGCTGCTGTAGGACATACTGTCTCTATTCCATCTGGCCAGCTTTGCCTTAGTATGCCCACCTGCTGCCTCATTCTATGTCCTACGACATTTTTCTTAGAGATTTACAAGCCTCATCGCACATTCTTGATCTTCCTCAGTCTCACAAGGCTTACAGTCCTTGTTAAAAATGGCATAGGGCAGCAGCAGAGATAGCTGTAATTAATTTGTGAAAACGAAACCTGTAAAAGTGAAGGGCCAACTGTATATCAAAAATATTATGTAAATGTGCACTTGTAATGCACTTTTCAGTGTGCATCAGTTGCAGCATTACGTTTGGTGTTCCAACAAAGAAAGGAAGGAGATTACTGATTACTATTCAGCAGCTGGTTGACCTTTCAATATGCAATCTATACTGCTTCGTATGTATTGTTTTAAGACCAAATTATTATACAGGTTGAGTATCTCTTTCCAGAGATCCTTGAGATCAGAGGTGTTTTGAATTTTAGAATATTTGCATGAATGAAATGAGAATCCTCAGATACTTTATTCTCGTCACCATCTCCCCGAAGGGACTCGTGGTGTCTTAGAGACGGCACAAAGTGCCTAAAAACAAACATAAAAGTGAACACAATAGAATACAATGAAATAAAACACATTCACGTATAAAAATATAATTTCAAACTCAATCAAGCTGGGATCCTCTAACTGTGGAAGCAAATTACTGGCACCATGGCCGGGCTGTAAACATTTGAATAAAATAACTGCCAGCTGCTCTAATGGACAAAGGGCATGGGATAAAGTGCAGGATGTGCAACTAATACGTAAGACAACTAGGGGCTAAATATTCTCAAAGGCTTGATTGAAGAGCCATGTCTTCAAATCTCCCTACAAAAGGAAGACAGTGTGGGGCCTGTCTAATCCCTCTGGGGAGGGAGTTCAAAATTCATTTATGTTTCATAAACACCTTATACACATAGCCTGAAGGTATTTTTAACAATATTTTTAATTGTATTGTTCATGAAACAAATTTTCATACATTGTACCATCAGAAAGGCTATTTGACCGATCGCATCTCCTCTTACAAACTAGCCCGGGCACTTTGGTCATCGGAGAAGCCTTCTCTTGGTCCCACCCCCATCTCAAGCTCGGCTGGTGGGACCAAGAGAGAGGACTTTCTCCATGGTTGTCCCCCACCTCTGGAACTCCCTCTCTAACGAAATAAAGCTGACCCCCTCCCTCCTCTCTTTTAAAAAACAACTGAAGACCTACTTCTGCTAACTTGCATATGGAGAGGAGGAGGAATAGATGGTTGAGAGATCACTGTCAGACCTCTGGTTGAGAACTTTTTGTATCTGGGCTTTCCTGCTCCATACCAGCTCAATGACCTCATAAACAACCCATATCTTTTTGCGAACCCTTGCTGGCTGTTGTATACTGATGTGGGTGTTTTGTTTAGATTTATATTATTATAGAATTTTGTCTGATCATGTGTAGTTTAATTTATTGAGGTCAGGTTTAATTTACTGATGTTAGCTTTTAATGTTACTTTTATATGTGGAGGTTTTCTGGGATTTTATATTAGTATCATGTGTTTTATGTAGGCATTTAATGTTTGCTATTGTTATGCTGGAATCCGCACTGTTTGCTATTGTTATGCTGGAATCCCTTGGGGAGATAGGGCGGAATGTAAATAAAGTATTATCATTATCATTATAGAAAGCAACAGTGTCACTATTTTAGCCACTTATATGGACAAGTCGAGATTTTGAAGTGTTTTGGATTTTGGATTTCAGGATAAGAGGTGCTCAACTTGAATTTACATATTCATATATGGAGCGCCTGGTGGTGCAGCTGGCTAAACCGCTGATCTGCTGAACTTGCTGACCGAAATGTCAGTGGTTTGAATCCGGGTAATGGGGTGAGCTCCCAGCTTCTGCTACCCTAGCAGTTTGAAAACATGCAAGTGTAAGCAGGTCAATAGGTACTGCTCCAGCAGGAAGGTAACGGAGCTCCATGTAGTCATGTAGCCACAAAGCCTTGGAGGCATCTAAAGACAACGCTGACTCTTTGGCTTAAAAGCGGAGACGAGCACAACTCCCCAGAGTTGGATACAACTAGACTTAATGTCAGGGGAAACCTTTACCTTTTTATGTTTCTGGCTTTGCTTGTATAGTATGTATTTGGAACCTAAATAAATTTATGTTTTATAGAGGAAGCAAAGACAGTCATATTCACAAATAAGGCTTCTTATGCATTGTTTTTTAATTTTTCCCTGAAGGACATTAGGTTGCCTAGCATCCCAACACTGAAAATTCCTCTGATTGCAACATTTGATGACCTAGATATACAAGTAGATGAAGAAGATGAATTCAAAGCAAGAGGTAATTTAATTAGATAATTCACCCGAATATCAGTCACTGACACAAGTTGCTTCTGTGGTAAATATATTTGTCTTTCTGGTAGTCAGTGCTTTTTCTTTTTCTGATCAGTGTCTTCAAAGTAGTTTTCCAATGCAGTTTGTGTTCCAAAAGTGCTTTGCTCATGTAATCAATATTATATCTGTAATTGGGCTACTTTTAATCTATCACTAAAGCATGTTATGTGAACAGTAAAATTAAACCCAAACATACTTGTTAGTATGCAAGCAAATGCATGTCACCTGCTGAAAACTTACTAAAGAATTCTGTGTGCTTCAGAAGTGCAGACATGTATTTCCCTTCCATGTATTGTACTTTAAATCTAACCTTGTGGTTTGGATCTGAAATAATGGTTCTGATTCTCTACTCTTAGGATTAGTTCTGATTTCCAAGCACTATTTCTGTATTTGTGTGCTCAAATGTGAAAGTGGTGTTGTACCTAATTGTGAAAGAGATGATATTGCAGCTTAAGATGAATACCACTCACTAAAAATGTTATGATAGCAGTCATAATTGTTCATCATTAAAGAACTTAACAAAAGTGTCCCTTTGTCTCATGGTAACACTGTAGTTGTAACCTTACTTTACCTCATCAGTACTTATTTTTCATGAAGTCGCATTTCGTAATGCTTTGGTCAGTAGCAACTATTTTACCTTATTGGATTTTATTGGTTATCTAACTGTATAATGGAGGCTGTGGTGGTGTAGCGGGTTAAACCTCTTAGCTGCAGAACTTGCTGATCAGAAGGTCGGCGGTTCAAATCCATATACAGGGTGAGCTCCCATTGTTAGCCCTAGCTTCTGCCAACCTAGCAGTTCAAAAACATTCAAATGTGAGTAGATCAGTAGGTACAGCTTCTGCGAGAAGGTTAACGGCGCTCCATGTAGTTCTGCTGGCCACATGACCTTGGAGGTGTCTACGGACAACACCAGCTCTTTGGCTTAGAAATGGAGATGAACACCCCAGTCATACACGACTAGACTTAATGTCAGGGGGGAACCTTTACCTTAACTGTATAATAAACCTATATCTGTTAAAATTTTACATGATCTACGCCAGACATTTGGATAGTAAAAGTTCACAGAAAAGTTTGAAGTTTCAATGGATCATGGAGAAAGAGGTTCAAGAACTACTAAAGAATTCTGTGCTGTAATATTATTTATTTAGGTAGACTTAATACAAACAATAAGAACAGGTGTGATAGCTTGTAGGACTCCTAAAATAGCTGGGATATAAATATTTTTCTTAGCTTCTTTGTCCAGGAGTGATAATGATAGTCAAAGGAATATGGCGATTTCAACCAAGTATAAGACTACAAATTAATATGAGGATTAGTTTTCCTTGTATGTATCACAATGAATTAATATTTGCTTATTTGGCAATTTCCCCCTTCCTTGCAGGACTGACCGGTTTGAAAAACATTGGGAACACTTGTTACATGAATGCAGCTTTACAAGCTCTTTCAAATTGGTAAGAAAAGCTATTTTTAGGACAGTATTTCAGCTGTCTGAAATTCCAGACCAATTAGCAGTCTAGCCTAGAGTTGAAGATCAGTAACTCTTTAAGAATCCGGTAACAGTAACTGAAACCTTAGCCTTTCTTAACATATACAACATCTTTGCACACACTTTGCCATAGAAGTTGATTGTCTGTTCTTTGGGACTAACAGAAAATTCTGATCAAATGCATGCTAAAATATGTTTCTTCCCAATTCTTCAAACTGCACAAGTCAAATTAAATAGTATGAATATTCTTGGGTTGCTGTGAGTTTTCCATACTGTATGGCCATGTTCCAGAAGCATTGTCTCCTGACATTTCTTCCACATCTATGGCAGGCATCCTCAGAGGTTGAGGGGTCAACCTCTGAGAATGCCTGCCATAGATGTGGGCTAAACTTCAGGAGAGATTGCTTCTGGAACATGACCATACAGCCCGGAAAACTTACAGCAATCCAGTGATTCTGGCCATGAAAGCCTTCGACGACACAATGAATATTCTTTCTATATATCTTCCTATATTTATTTGAGCCTCCCAGTAAGAGCAGGGGTTTTGGTGTTAATGTTTTATGTACTAAAAGAGTCAAATAGTGTCACGACACTTAGGGTAAGTAAGAATTTTTTTGGAACTTTTACAGTATGCTTAATTGTTTTAGTGCAGTTTTCATGAGCAACATGTAAGTTTGTTCACAGTAACAAAGTAGAAGAAAGAGAAAGTGGAGTAATAAGTCTATCAGCCCAGCCATAGACTAATAAGGAGTTTACCTTATGAAGCACTACATAACTATGGTGACAACAATATTGACATATTTGGTACTAGTTCACATTACTATTGCTCTTTTTCTTTATTGCCAGCCCACCATTGACACAGTTTTTCCTTGACTGCGGAAACTTAGCTCGGACTGATAAGAAACCTGCTATATGCAGAAGTTACTACAAGCTCATGACTGAACTTTGGCATAAAAGCAGGTACTGTATTGCTTCCATTCTCTCATGTTATTTGTAAGTCAGCCTCTGGGAAGTTCACTTAAAAGACCAAAAAGTATGACTTCTTGTGAACTTGGCTGAGCTACTAAGTGATATCATGCTTCAGCTGAAAGTGCCATATTTTGATTGTGTGGTAATTTCTGTATCTTTAGTTTCAAGAAGCAATTTTTAAATACACTAGAGTCTCACTTATCCAGGCTTTGCTCATCCAATGTTCTGTATTATCCAATGCGGTCTGCCTCCCACCCGGATCCACAGCTGTTTTAATACATTGTGATGTTTATAAATACAATCATTACTACATAACCTTACTATGTATAGAATGGCCTTTTCTGTTGGTTTGTTGTAAAACATGATGTTTTGGTTCTTAATTTGTAAAATCATAATGTAATTTGATGTTTAATAGGCTTTTCCTTAAACCGTCCTTATTATCCAACATTTTCGCTTATCCAACGTTCTGCCGGCCCGTTTATGTTGGATAAGCGAGACTCTACTATATATATCTGTAAAAGCAGATTGACATGTTTGGTGATTTAAGCTTTCTCTTTGACTGCAATTTTGTGTATACATACCTGGGGAAAAACCATATTGAAATCATTTGGCTGTGTTTCTGTATCAGTGCATATGTTAGAATTTCAGTCTGCAATGTAATGTAGTAATGGTTTTACTTGCATATGGCCAAGATGCATGATAAAAAGATCAAATTCAGATCATTATATCAGGCAAATCTCTATCTAGCCAGCACTCCCTTTCCAGGAATAACTAGAAAGCTACCTCTGGGAGTTCGCTTTATTTTGTTTGAACAGCCTGGTTTGAAGAAGTGTAAGTCTCTCGTCCTAGTCATCTGCTCACATTGGTTTTTACTCCTTTTTGAGCCTACAAAATTGTAATGTACAAGAGAGAAGAAGCTTCTAATAGACAAAAGGAGGTATTACTCAATCAGTTTACCTCACCAAATGTCTAATTAGATTCAGAAATAGTTGCAATATTTAGAGACAGAGTCTTTATCCTAAAATAATAATAATAATAATAATAATAATAATAATAATAATAATAATAATAAATTTTATTTCTGCTCCGCCACCATCTCCCCAAAGGGATTCAGGGGTGGATAACAAAATACAGTGAAATGCCACATATAGACAATACATAAATCTAAATTGATAAAACCATAGAGTAACAATCACGCACATACATACTTACAGTGTAAAACAATAAAATTCATAAAATGCAATCATAGCTGCCGATAAAAACAAGTTGTTTCCAATTGACACAGCCCAGTGCCGACGTGACACCAACAGTAAGTCCTTGGACTGATCCTAAAAAACCTACATAAGATCAAAGGCTTGTTTTAAAAGCCATATTTTTAAACTGGAAGGCTTGAAGTGAGGGGGCTATCCTGATCTCTATAGGGAGGGCATTCCAGACCTGGGGCGCCACCACCGAGAATACCCTCTCTCTTGTCCCCATCAACCATTTTTGAGACGGTGGTGGGACCGAGAGAAGGGCCTCCCCAGCAGATATCAATTCCCACTCCAGTTCTTAGGAGATGCGGTCTTGAAGATATGTTGAACTACATACGCAAAAGTTGCAGTCTAGTTAAGCCTCATTGAACTTAGATTTAGTTCGCAATAGACATGATGTAATTTTACTATAATATGATAGTCTTGATTTACTGTTTTAGGATCTATTGCATGTTGAATAGTAGTAAAGTGAAGCATTCTAAAGAATTTGAATATATTCCCTTAAAATACCTTTTCTTCCAGACCTGGAGCCGTTGTCCCAACAAATTTATTCCAAGGAATCAAAACAGTTAATCCAGCATTTCGAGGCTATTCCCAACAGGTACATTTTTCTTAAGGTTTCTTCTATAAATGCTGTAGCAGATAAATAATGTGTTTTGGTAGTAACACCTGAAAACTTTCTTCTCACACTCTGAGGACAGAATGACAGAAAACCATGTTGAACCATCTCTTATACGTATTTAATATACCTCTTCTTGAACCCGCAACACTACATATATCCCCCATTTAACTTTGTCCCCTGAGGTTCTGAATACGATTTCCAGGTCACTGTTGGAAAACAATCATCTTCTTGTGTCTTCTCTGAATTACTTTTCTGAATAAAACATACTGTTTTAAATTCCAGGATGCCCAGGAATTTCTGCGTTGTTTAATGGATTTGCTACATGAAGAGTTAAAAGAGCCTGTTGTCACACTAGAGGATACTAGCCCAACAATCGCAGAAGAGAGAGGAGAAGAAGAGAGGAGCCAATCAGATGGAGATTCTGAGTCATGTGACAACACTGACAAAGAAGAAGCCGAATCTTGGTCAAAACCTGTGATAGAGAACCTTTCAGAGGATGCGATGTTAATTGAGGAGGATGAAAGTGTATCAAAAGACCATCAGAATGAGAAATCCTTGTGTACCAAGATGAACCCAGCAGGTTCTATGGAAAACATAGAAAAAGATATAAACAATTTATTTGAAATGGCTGAACTTTTGAATAACCAAGAAACAGTGAAAGTGCAAATACACAGCAGATACTCAGGTGATTATATGACTGCAACTTCAGTGTCACAGCTATTTAACAATTCATCCATGTGTCTTCTCCCTTCCAGCATTCGTTTCCACATACTGCTATAACATGTTGTAACAGGTCTCTAATATAATCCAACAGTTGACTCTTGTATGATGGGATATTTGTGTATTGATTTTGGAATGGAGAATATATGAATATCAATGTTGTTATGGGGAGCCCCCTGTGGCTCAGCAGGTTAAACTGCTGAGCTGCTGAGCTTGCTGACCGAAAGGTCAATGGTTCGAATCCAGGGAGTGGGGTGAGCTTCTGCTGTTAGGCCCAGTTTCTGCCAACCTAGCAGTTCAAAAACATGCAAATATGAGCAGATCAGTAGGTATCACTTCGATGGAAAGGTAACAGCGCTCCATGTAGTCATGCTGGCCACATGACCTTGGAGGTGTCTGTGGACAACGTTGGCTCTTTAGCTTAGAAATGGAGATGAGCACTCCCCCCCCGGGTTGGACTTGACTTGATTTAATGTTAAGAGGAAACCTTTACTAATGTTGTTATACCTGACAGCTTCTGACATCTAATCTCCTCAGCTCTTCCATTGTGTCAGATATTCTTTCTCTCTCAAACCATATCCATTTTCTGCTTTTCTTACTGTTATTTCTCATGAATTATCTTGCACATTCTTAACATCCTTGGTCTTGGCAAACTAGTATTGGCAGCTTCATTGTTGTAATTTTACTTTGATAATACTTGATGAAAATACAAGTACCAAATACAAGTACCAAATACTACATTTGTGAAAATTGTAGATCAATTGTACAATAAGGAATTATTTTTTACAGACTATGTCAATGATGTTCATATGAACGATGTGTCGGCACCACAAAGTTATTCTTCGAAGGATGGAAGCAATGCACGACTATCAACCAGCCCCCCTAAGTCAGGTTCCTTCTGGTCTGGACTGGCAACCCCACACAAAAAGGGTATCACATTTTCTAATTTTACTGTTTTTATTTCTGTTCAGGCTAAATAGATTCCTACATTTTTTTAGTATTTCCCCATTCATTTTGATGATTCTGTTCCCTTTCATCTCTTCATAATGGATACTGAATTGAGATGCTTGTTGGTGTTTGCATTTTACTATCATCTAGTGCAGGTGTGTCCCTCATTTCAATCAAAGTGCACATCAGCCTTATGCTTGCCTTCAAAGAGATGTTGAATCTTTGGATGGCGAATCCATGGGTACAGAGGGCCAACTATAACTTGTTTACATTATGGCCACCTGTTTAATTTTTACCCTGTTTGGGTCCTCAGATGTTGTTAAATGATAACTCCCTTCACTTTTGATTATGTGCAATGAAGTCTGGGGCAATGGGAATTGCAGCCCAACAACACTTCTGCTCTGAGGCAGGGGAAAGGTCAATGTCAGACATTATATTCAGAAGCCTATGTATCTAAATCCAAACCCTACTATCCGGATTAAACAACAGCCTTCCAGATGTTACTGTATCAAAGCTCCCATCAGCTCTAGTCACTATGTCTAATGATGAGGAATACAGGAATTATAGTCAAGCATCTGGAGAGCCACAAAAAATGACATGGTGGGCTAGATCTGGCCCCTGGCCTTGAGTTAGACACATGCCATCTTGGTGGGTGCCATGTTAGCATGCCTCTCAAATACTAAAGCCGTGAGATGGGGCATTAAGAAGTATGTGTCCAGTCCTTATTTTGAGCCTTTTGTGTTTTTGTAACCTTTTCACTTCTAGTCAGCATTATATATTTAAATATACATTAAGGCAGCAATTGAAACCGAGAGCAAGTACACAAGAGAACAAGTATTTTTGAGTGCTGTTTGTGTTAATTCTGTTTTAACTTTTGTATATTTGTATATTTTAAATTCTGTGCTAATGCTTTTATGTCAAGCCGCTTTGTGTCCCCTTGGGGGAAATAAAGCAGGGTATAAGAATTATATAATATAATAATATATAGTATTGTAGTTCTCCTAGTTGATTGATTATCATTGGGAATTTGCATTGTTTTGCAGCTTAATTTAAGTACATTATGGTTTCCCCATTATGGTTTACTGTAATTGTTCAGTAATCTTATTTAATACATTTTTTCCAAAGCGGTTAGCTGGGAAGGTTCTCTGCATTTTCTTTCTCACTTTTATCTTGCTAAATTAGATTTGTTTTTTGGGGGGTTTTATGTGTGTTTGTACGATGGTTTTGCACATTTCACTCCCCTTGCATGGCTTGAATCTTCAGATTTATCCAAAGACAGCCTTGGAAATAAATTACTGATATTGCATCATCTTTTTGCCTTTCGATTCCTACCCAGTTTTTCTTCTTCCCACCCATGTCTCATAGATGTACATAGGCAGTACTTCTGTGGGATCCTTCCATATTTTCCACACTAGATTTACATTTGGGAATGGTATGGCAATGATTGCCTACTAATTTTCATTTTATTTCTTTCTGTTTTTAAAAATATTTAGTTCCGGTTGCACCATCCTCTAAAAAGAAGAAACATAAACAATACAGGAGTGTTATCTCAGACATATTTGATGGAACTATTGTAAGTTCCGTGCAATGTCTGACATGTGATCGGGTAAGTATAGGAAAGAGGCTCTCTATCTTTCCATTTTTTCCATATGTTTCATGTTCTTCTACCAACTTCATGTTTCCATAATTTATTATTAAGTTGCTTTTCTTGGGAAAAAAGTTTAAAATTAAGTTAACTCCCTTTTTTATAATATCCTAAGCATTCCTGGATTTCTATAGCTTGAGTGATCAGACTGGTTTGTTGTGTTGTGTTTGTCACCTAGTAGTGATCCTAGGACAAACAATATACTCAGTTGCAAGTGGGACTTATGGTGTTATTCCTAAAGTCCAATTGATAGAAGAAAGGCAGGATGTAAATGGAGTTAGGTGCCACCTCTATGCAGATGACACACAACTGTATTACTCATTACCACCTAATTCCAAGGAGGCCTCTCAGGTGCTGGACGAGTGCCTGGCCGCTGTGTCTATCTGGATGAGGAGGAACAAGCTGAAGATCAATCCCGACAAGACAGAGGTCCTCCTGGTTGATCGTAAACCCTAATGTCTTTTTCTTTCACATAGGTGTCAGTTACCCTGGAGACTTTCCAGGATTTATCGTTGCCTATTCCAGGTAAGGAAGACCTTGCTAAGCTGCACTCTGCAAGTCATCAGACATCTCTTGTCAAGGCAGGGTCATGTGGTGAAGCATATGCTCCTCAAGGATGGATAGCTTTTTTTGTGGAATATTTCAAAAGGTTGGTTGCTTTGCAATACTTCACTGTTTTTATTCATGTTTCTGCTCTACTGGCAGAACATTTGCTGTCTTTTCTATCAATGATGTTTCAGGTTTGTTGTCTCATGTATTCCTAGCTGGTTTTGGGGTCCAACAGTTACCTTACAAGATTGCCTCGCTGCCTTTTTTGCTAGAGATGAACTGAAAGGTAAGAAAATGCCATACTTAGTAAAAAATTAAAAAAATAGTATATTCTCCTCATTTGACTATTATCTTCTTTTTACTTTGGGTCCCTTATTGGAGAAAAGTTTATTTATTTATTTAGAACATTTATACCCGTCCTTCTCAACCTCCAAAGAGGGACACAGTTGGATCTAAATTGAATACATCAATCAAGTTTTAATATTTTTCCATTATACTGTAGTAGATATATCAGTTGATAATAAGTATCATACATACTCGATTATAATCTGAGTTTTTCAGCCCTTTTTAAGGCTGAAAATGCCCCCCATGACTTATATTCAAGTCAAAGTTATTTATTATTTTACTCTATTGTTATTATTATTATTATTACATTTATTATTTTACTCTATTATTATTACATTTACATTATTTTACTCTATTATTACTACATTTATTATTTTACTCTGATTATTACTACATTTTATGATTACATTTCCATTATTTTACTCAGCATTTGAGAAGTCATTTCCCTTTTAATTTGTATCATTATGTTTTAAGTTTTAACTGAAGGCTTGATACTTGAATTTATTAAGATAAATGTTTTTAATCATGTTAAAACAGTACCCAAATACTGTATTGCAAAACTAGAAATGTCCAGTGTAGGTTCTTGTGCATAGTGAATACTGCTTGAATTGTTTTGGACTAATGGTTATGCTTCCTTCCTCGTGGTGTCTGCAGGTGACAATATGTACAGCTGTGAAAAATGTAAAAAGTAAGTGGTCTTCCCACTCAGGCTCCCCTTCCCAGTGCACTCTTTTGGATGAAATTTGCTTCACCTTCATCTGTGGAGTTGAAGGGCTCTCTGGCTGGGGCTGAGGATCCATCATGTTTGCTGATGGTGGCCTTGCTCCGCAACCCAAAGTGTAGGCCAAAGAACCCAGGCTTGCAAGGGCCTGCACCCGAGCACTGAGTAAGCAGTGCTCGTTACTCGGGTGCTTGACTGCAGGCCCTGGTAGGCCTGGGTGTGTAGGCCCAAAGCACCTGGGCCTGCAAGGGCCTTCACCTGAGTGCCAAGTAAGCAGCCCTCCTTACTTGACACTCGGCTCCAGGCTCTAGCAGGCCCTGGTGCTTTGGACCTACATGCACGGCAGTCAATCCAAAAAGCAGGCTTGGAGCTGGTACCTGCTTTCCCGTTCCATGCCATCCGAATGGATGGAACGAAATCGAAACACGAATCAAACAGATGATACAGATACCAGGCCCCTGACTAGTGGAGATGCCTTTTCCCAATGATAATACTTCTTCAAGGAGTGAATTTCCCTTCCAAGGGGAAGATTTATCTCACTTCCTGTTGTCTCAACCTCCTGTATTGAATAACTATGTTTTGTAACCAAAAGATAAAGTTGTAAGGGATTGTTCCTCTCTTTTTACTCCTGTTACAGCATCTTATGTGTCCCCCCCCCCCCAAATGTTTCTCTAAAGATTCAGCATGGAATAGTGTTTGAAGCAGGATTACGGGCTACTGCTGAGTTGGAAAGAATTAGCAGAATTTGAGGACTTTACCCTCAAAAAGAGACTAAGAAAGTAGAAGTGATCGGTGCTTCTTTTTGGTTCTCTCAGGATGGACTAAGCTCTCACATTTCACCATACTACTTAGAAAGGGGAATGGTTCCTTTTTGTGATAAAATTTAGTACTGTATTTTAACTTTTAAAAAAGAGAACCTCCCCTTCTCTGAGTGGAGTAGAGAAAAGCCTTTTTGAATGTGTGGGCGTGAATATGTTTCCCCCTTTTCCACAGAATGACTTGTGGCATTCACAGGACACATCAAAATCATAATTTTGGCTCCAAACCCCATTCTTGACTTATATACGAGTATATAGAATAATTTAAGGCCTGTGCTGCCTCATCCTGTATGTATTCAAGTATTTAGTTGCACAAAAGTACTTAACATATTCATTATGATGTGTGAAGTGATAGTGTGTATAACTATAAATGTTTAATTTATAAAAACTAGTTTCTGGATATTTTTTCAGTGTTTATGGGTGGGACAGAATTAATGGATTTGTGATCCTTCCTAATACCATTATTTTCTTTTAAATATATAAGGGACCCTCTTCTCAGTTAGCATTTCTGAAACAATCTGTCTGTATCTGGAATAAATCATATTTAAAATTCTGCTAAATGTTTACTTTTCTTTAGGTTAAGAAATGGAGTAAAATTCTGCAAAGTTCAACACTTTCCTGAGGTATTTTTAATTTTATTTTAGAAACACATTTTATGTATCGTTGTTGATTTTTAATAATGAATGAATAATAAACTATAGCTGCATTGACTACTGTCCTGGAATATGCTTATGTCTGATTACATTGAATCTCTTACTCAGTAAGATCTTTCAGATGGATTTACAGCTAAAGTAAATTAAAAGAATTCTTGGGTTATTGTAGGTTTGTTGGAAATTAGGCAAATGGGGTTCTCATATATATATACACACACACACACACACACATATACATATATACATATATATATACACACACACACACACACGCATACACACACACACACACACACACACATACACACACAGCACAACCTCTGAGGATGCCTGCCATAGATGCAGGTGAAATGTCAGGAGAGAATGCTTCTAGAACATGGCCATACAGCCCAAAAAACCTACAATAACCCAGTGATTCCAGCCATGAAGGCCTTCGGCAATACAAAAGAATACTTGCTTAAACCTATGTGTAGCCATAATACAGCTACTGCTCTCTTTGTAGGTTATATAGTTAGGAATGATTCTCTTATGCTTTTTGTTCAATTAGTATATTTTTTCAGTAGTATGATTTGTAGGTGGATATGTGAACTATTTTTATGGAGAAGAGTTGCATTTAATCTGTTCTGGGATGATAATATGTGATATACACTTTATAATAGCTGTATCTTATACAGTATTTAAGCTATCACTTTGACAATCTAGTTAATAAAGAATAAACATGCATATGTGAATGTATCCTAATAAAGATGAAGGTGTTTCTGGCTAATTATTAAAGTAGCACTCCCTTCAAAAATCACTCATTCTTGTGGTTCTGAGGATTACATGATATGTAAAAGAGGTTGGAAAGATATATGGTAATATCGCTCATAAAAAAAGAGTTAACAGCCCAATAAACTGGATTAGTAAAATGTATTTTGGATGGTACACTTGCTTGAACTGCTGGAAAAAAAACCACAATTCATATAGGAGAGAGAGGTCATAAGGGAGGTGAAAAAGCAAGAGGGGCACCCAAAGGAAAATATGCTAGAAAATAGGTGGCAAATTCCAAAGACGAAGAGAAATTAGTTTGCTTGGAGGGGTGGGATGCTTAGGGGTATGTTTCCTTCCCAGAGGACATATTGCTCAAGGCACTTGCAGACCTGGTGAAGCCACAGCATTCATAAATGGCCCTGCTAGAGTTACACTTTAATGAGAACACAGAACCAGTCTGCTAACAATTGAAATTGTTGGACCAGGCTTTCGGGTGGCACGCTAATAATGACAATGGCAGTGATAATAATGCTATGGAAAATGCACTATGGATAGGCTTCTGATTGTGTTGTTGTTTACATAATTTTATTTTAGATAAGGCTAGACAGCCAGTATTACTTTACATGTATTTAATTTTAAACTAATTTTAAACTAATGTATCTCTTATATGTAATTACTGTATTATTATCTTGTATGTGGGGACATTGAATTGTTGCCGGCTGTGAGCCGCCCTGAGTCCCCCTGCGGGGGTTGAGAAGGGCTGGGTACAAATGTTTGAAATAAATAATAATAAATAAATTGATTGATAAGCTAATACTAAAATAGGTAAACATCAATTTACAAATGAGTGTCAACTCTTTACAGATTTTATGCATTCATCTCAAGCGATTCAGGCATGACCTTATGTTTTCTACAAAAATCGGGACCCATGTATCCTTTCCCTTGGAAGGGCTTGACCTTCAACCTTTTCTTGCTAAGGACAGTCCAGCTCAGATAGTGATGTATGATCTCTTATCAGTCATCTGCCATCATGGAACTGCCATCAGTAAGTAGATACGGTACATGCTTTCTTTCTAGTTGTGTATATTGTGGCATATTCATTATATGGAACTGTGGTGGAATTAAAAGCTAATCATTGCTTGCATTTCTGTTCTGAAATTGAACATTATCTTTTTTTTTTCTTGAATTCAGATGGCCATTATATAGCTTATTGCCGGAACAACCTAAATAACCGATGGTATGAATTTGATGATCAGAGCGTCACTGAAGTAACAGAATCTACTGTCCAAAATGCCGAAGCATATGTTCTCTTCTACAGGTGAGACAACACGTGAAAAGTGCTGGATATAATGGCAGAGCTTGTTCTACTTTCAGCAGAAGTCTCCTTTGAGCAGAGTTCTCATCGCCATCAGCCGAAGGGCAGGGAATATCTTTCATTTATTTTCCTTTCTCCTGCTTGGACTTTTCTAATCTGTGGTGGAAGATAGCCCAGCTTGCTTCCCTGCTCCTTTTTACTAGTTAGTTCCTTCCCTTAGATCAAATGCTTTCTAACAGAGAGAAGGGCCCATCTGTTCATGGAACATCGAGCCTGAGTTTAGCTCATTGTCTTCAGTAAATTTCTTTTAAGTTTGTTCCACATGAATTTTAAGAGAAGAACAAGCAAAACTGGCTAGTGCTTTCTATTATTTAGAGTTTTGATCAGCTGCCAAACAGAAAGCTTTGCTTCTTTGGAGATGCTTGTGTGTAGAAAATGCCCCCCCCCCCCCCGGCGCTCATTTTTAACAGTTTTACCATCTCCTGTTCTTCTATGAGACCTTTTTTCCCCCAGGTTTTCCCTTTAATATTTTTTGCACTACATTCTTGGAGCTTATTGAACTGTTGCCCTAGCCTTAATCCATGCAAAAAGACACAAAAAGCAGTCTTTATCCCTTTTTATGAAGTCATGCACTGGATAAGCTTAAGAGATTAGAATATTATAATCTTATTAACTATGACTGTGAAAACATTGCTTTGATAACTATGTATTTCTGATGAAAAAATTACAGTGCCTTCAGATAGTCCTGTTAATTTCGAATGCTTTATAATTTGTTACACTCCCTGCAGATGTGTGAGATTTTGTTACTGCAGTGAACTTGAACACTGCAGAGAGATCACTTTGAATGGGTAACTTCAGTTTCCTCATTTCAATTCAGAGGATGGTCCATGTAAAAGGATTGCAAAATGCAATTGCTACAGGAAGGCGCCGTTAGTAGATCAGCAGCTGGGAGCTGAAGAACAAGGAGATTCACTGTAGTAGTTTGAAACACATCGGCTCTAGTGACGGAGGGCTTTTTTTTCTTTTGGAAATGTGAGCTAAATCAGAAAGAGAAAACAACTGTTCCAGTCTTAGCAGCAAATACATTCCTTGAATGAGAGAAGAAATCTAAGCTCTGAAAAAATGATGAACTAAATGATTAGAGAAATTGCACTTGCTTTAAAGAAAAGATATTGGTCCCAAAATGAAAAATGAAGAGGAAACTAATTGTAGTGATCCTTATTCAGAAAACTGCAAGTATCACTACAGGCATTCTTCTTAGCATCTGAAAATAATTTACAGAAGTGTTTGTAGCTATTATTATTATTATATCCCACATTTTTCTCTAAAAATTATTTCATGTCGAAAACATTCTCAAAAAGAGACTCAATGCAGCTTACAGTCAAACCAATACAATACAAATCTAAAAGGATACAAACATTAAAATAGAATTAAACATGAACAGTATTAAAAATAAACAGTTTAAACCCTTTAAACCAATTAAAAACCTATTCCTAGCTATCTAGATCCTCCAGTGCTATCCTGTGATTCTGTGCCAAGTTTGGTCAAAATGTAGGATTCGCTATTATTTGTGGCTTCAGATATCCACAGGGGTGTCTTGGTATGTACCCCTTGCAGATACGGATGTGATTCTGTGTTTGCCTAAATAGAGAAGATATTTTAAAAATATGTTGACAGTTTCAGGGAAAAGTACTTTTAGATCATCATCTTTGCTGCTGCTCTTTTAATTGCAGAAACAAAATCATAAAATCATGGAGTTGGCACAGACATTAGACACCTTTAAATTGAAAGGATAGCTTATAGACTGTGACCTGGCCCTCTGTTTAAAAAGTTTGAGGACCTTTGTTATAGACAAACAAAACAATAGGATCTAGCTACTTCCAGTTAGAGTAAACCTATTTAGACTTGTCTGAATTGTAAGTATATATTTTATTTTCATTGTTTGATGATGTTTAATTTGGAGTAATAACAGAATCTTTGCCTATGAATCTAAAAAAAATATTGGTGTGTTATTTAAACTGGATATTTCAATATGAATAAAAGTGATAATGGTATCTTATTTTCAACATGAGCTTGGATAAAATCTGTTTCTTCACCATTACCTAGTGTGCCTATGACTCTTATGCATGTTATTGATCTTTAATATTGCTTCTTTCCAATAGAAAAAGCAATGAAGAAGCCAAAAGAGAGAGACAAAAGCTGTCAAATCTCAATGTGATGGAACCAAGCCTCCTCCAGTTTTACATTTCTCGACAGTGGCTGAATAAATACAGGACTTTTGCAGAGCCAGGACCTATTTCAAATAATGATTTCCTCTGCATACATGGAGGTGAGAGTGCTGTTATGGAAATTGTCCTCCTGTAAAGATTAAGGCTTCTTTTGTTGCTTTGGAACAATACATTTACTGTTCCTTTGACCTTGCCTGTTTGCCAGTAGAGTTTCAGTGTTGCTGTTTTACAGAATTTAGTATCTTACGTAATGAATTCAGGATGTGATCATGTGCCCTGACTTCGTTTATTGTTTTATTAAAAGTCGGAACAGCTTCTTTTAGCATTTAACTCTTTTGAGTTATGTACCTATTCTTCTAAAGTGGTGAGATCTAAAATAAAAAAGCTCATTAATTTCTTTGAATCAAGTTCTTAATCATATATATCAATTTCAAGTGAAATTAGAGGCTGGTTTTGTGATGGTTGCCTCTCCCAGGAAAGGGCAACTTTCATTTGGAAGAACAAAATTCTGTTCCAAACAGAAAAAAAAATATTTTAGCTCAGGATTTTACTTTTTTTGGACTGTACCTTGAGTAACAATACTGGCCAACAAATGTTGACCCTGTTTCTGGGTATATTTGACTTGCTGGTTCCAAAAATGGCTCCCATTTTCCCCTGTCAGCTTTAGTTTTTGAGATACAGAACATATGCCATATACCAGTGTTCATCTGCCTGCCCATAGAAAATCATAATAACTATATCTAAGAAACAAAAGTTGATACAGTCTACCCAATGCTATTTTCTAATCAGTGCCACCAATAAGCCTAGAAACAGGTCTAAAAACCTATATAATTTTAAATATTCCTGGCCAGTATGTATAATTTTATTTTTGGATTAAATGCAGAATACCTCCAAAGGCGCTAAATGACAAAGATGACTCAAATGCTATTCATATTATGATTGATTCATGTCCGGTACTTAAAAAAAACCTTGAGAATCTAATCCATAATGGCTGGATGCTGTTTTACCGACTCACATATGCAGCTATGATTACTGCATATTTCATGGTAGAGTTCTAAATAAATATTTACAGTGAAAATTTATTTATTTTTTAGTTGTCTGATTGAAATAATAGCTTGGTTCTAATTTCTCAGATTTGGCATGGTTCCTCTTCTGACAATCAAACTACTCAACTTCCTTCAGACATTATACGATGAACCTATGAATTTATTTCACATTTCTGAGGATGCACCCTCAGGTGGAAGCTGTAAAAGTGATTCCAATAGTCCCACAAATCATGTTTAGAAATGAATTGTGTCAGGATTCAACCCCTTGATTTGAACAAAGTAGCTTGAGTTTTTTATTTGTCGCCCAAGCCTTTTGTACTTTCCCATCTGGCTACAAACCTTTTTTTTTTTTTTCAAATGTTTATCCAAAAGTTTATTAGACACCATTTGGGAAAAGTTGTATTTGTTGCTTGGAATTTCTTTTGTCTCATTTAAAATTGAGTAGTTCTTGTGCAAGTTATGAGATAGAAATAAAATGACTTAAATTCAACTCAAGTTCATATGTCTCTCCTCAGATCAAAGGGACAGCTATAATATCATTTTCCTCAGACAGCCTGAACTACTCAGTTTGATGAAAGTTTCTGACATTTGTTTTGGCTATTGTCAGAAGCAAAGATTATTTACCCTAAACAATTTTACAATGATAAAAAGTATTCATTGAAATTGTCTTCACATCCACAGGAGTTCCTCCATACAAGGCTACATCAATTGAGGACCTGGTAGTAATGCTGCCTCAGAACATCTGGGATAGCTTATATAGCAGGTAAGCTTCAGTTGTGAAACATAATGTTTTTCCCAATCTAATAATAAAATAATAATATAACTTTATTTTTACCCCCGCCCCATCTCTGCGAACAGACTCGGGGCGACTCACAAAAGCATTCAAGGTGCCGCACATAAAGATAAAATTACATAGCACCAAATCTAGGGAAATAGTATTTAGTAAAAAGAAGCTGATATTTATAAAGACTGTATACAGAATTGAACAGCATATTTTCTTACTTCTCAGATCTTTAATCCAATAAAGATATCTGAACAAAAGGCAGGGATGCAATTTTTGTTCATCCTTACACTTTCAAATATACTTAAAAATGTGACCCTCCATAACAGCATTGGAAGTGGTTTAAGGGAAGAGGCTGCTGGGAAAAAGGAGCTTATATGAAGGTCACATCCACTGTTTTGCTCATGTAAATCTCTGCTAGATCAAAGAGCCTTCTTTTCAAAGAGGCTTTACTTTCCATAAATTAAAATTATATTTGTGTTTTTAATATGACACCCACCCTGTCCACTTTTAGCAAAGGCCTAAAAAGGTGGATGTTCCACTATGCCTTTGATTAGACAAATTCACTAGATTATTGGCTCCCCAACTATAATTTATTATCAGCTTCTGCAGTTTATCACTGTCCCCTGCCCTATAGATCTAGTGCTCTAAATTAAATGAGAATAATAATAATAATCTTTATTTATACCCCGCCACCATCTCCCCAACGGGGACTCGGGGCGGCTTACATGAGGCCAAGCCGAAACAACAAATTACAGCAAAATAAAACCAAAAATACAAGCAACAAACAACATCATAATTACATAAAGCATATGAATACATTAACGATATAAGATTACAATAAACACAGTCACAGTGACAATGGGAGGGCTACATGTGCACAAAAATGATTAAAAAACTGATTAAAAACTGATTAAAAACTCGGATGAGATAAAAGGAGAAGCAGGTTATTTGCGGAGGGGGGCTCATTAAAATGTGGATTGTGGAATCAAGTTTTCCCATGGAGGGTGGCATATACTCCAATGACAAAAACGTTGAGGCTGAGCAATAGTGTGAGGTTGTATACCTATTCACTCAAGGAGTAGCGGAAGAGCCAGGTTTTAAGGTTCTTTTTAAAGGTTTCTTGGGTAGGGGCCCTTTGCCCTTCTAGCCCTAATTTATTATTGCCTCTTTCACTTTTCCACCAGCCCGTCTTGAAACTATATTGCACAGGCTCCTACTCTCCAAGTTCAGTATTTATTATTGTTCAGGCTATTGGCTGTTTTATGATGTTGTTTTATATTATTATGATGTTATTTTATTGTGTCGTATTTTTAATCCATGTCTGTTTGGACTTGTCCCCATGAAAACCACCCCGAGCCCCTTCTGGGAGATGGAGGCAGGATACAAAAATATTATTATTATTATTATTATTATTATTATTATTATTATTATTATGGGACTGGCTTCTGACAAACTACACAATTTAGAGATAGAAAAATACTGCTACTGACACCATAAGGTGCTTTGTCCATGTGTCAGTGCTAAAGTGTAGAGTCACCTCTTGTGCTCTAAACCAGAAAAGAAATGTGAATTGAGGCTTCACTTGTGCACATGCTGCCTTTGGAGTGAGTCTTATTGTACACAAGTCAACTGAAATCATGGGAAACGTGTGAAGGATTTGACTTTAAATCCTGTATACTATTCATTTTAGAGCAATTAAACAACAGGAAGACAGTTTTCAAAATAAAATAAAAATTTGAAACATATGCAAGGTTGACAAACTGGATGTTATGAATTCATCATTATTTTAGTCTCAGAAATATGTTTGCATTGTGTTTTCAGGTCCTATTTTTGACCAAACAATCCTTGCCAAGATTGCTTAGCTCTAAGGTATAGAGTAGTGGATAAATATAGCTTACATTGCACACCACAAGAGTAACAATTTTCACTTAATAGAATGTCATAAAATAGGGCAGGATGTTGTCTTTCATGTGCCAAAACCTTTCAACAATAGGGCAGAATGTTGTCTTTTGCAGATAGACTTCAATTCATGGGATATTGGCTTCCACCCGTTATCTTAAGAACTCTACCAATTATTTTCTCATCCAGCAGCATAACTATTTGCTGTCTCTATTTATTAATTATTCCCTAAACTAGACTTTGCTCCTAAGCTGGCTTGCTTCTTCACCCTACCTGAGAATGATCTATTTTTGTAAAAATTGTCTGGACATCTCCTTCAACTCTTAACTTTAGACCAACAGCAGAACATATTGTTTAAGACAGCTTTTAATGTGCTAATAGGGAATGTGTTCTTTAAGACTGAATTATTTTCCTCATAAGGGTTTGTAAAAGTTGCTATTCCTGTAAAGGCCCTTTTTGCTGGAGACTGGGATAAAATGGTTCAGATAGGTAGTGCTAGGCAATCCTCTGACATACACATATGATGTACTTGTTGAAAACACACAAAAAAGAGTTCATATTTCCATGGTAAGAGTAGCTAAAATGATTGTAGTTTATTATTATTGGAGACCAGTTCTGTCTAAATATGCTTTTGGATTGTAACTTACAATGAGGCCTAGTCAGCATAGCTAGTATGAGAACTACTGGGAGTTGGGAGTCAAACAGCATTTGGAAGACTGCACTTTGTTCACCTTTGTTGAAACATGCAGCCCTCTAGGTGCTACTAGATTGCATCTCTCAGCATCTCTCATGCTAACTGGAGGTGCTGGGAACTGTAATCCAGTAATAACTGAAGGACTAAATAATGTTCACCCCGTAGTAGAGCAAGGCTTTGTTTGTTAATTTTAAAAAACCTAATTTTGTAGGGGTGCCCTCGGTGGCACAGCGGGTTAAACCGCTGAGCTGCTGAACTTGTTCGAATGTGCCAATCTAGCAGTTCAAAAACATGCAAATGTGAGTAGATCGATATTTACCACTCTGGCAAGAAAGTAACGGCGCTCCATGCAGTCATGCCAGCCACATGACCTTGGAGGCGTCTGTGGACAACACTGGCTCTTCGGTTTAGAAATAGAGGTGAGCACCACCCCCCAGAGTCAGACACAACTAAATTTAATGTCACGGGGAAACCTTTACCTAATTTTGAAGGAAGCCGATATTGATCAAAATAAGGTATTTATTGTTTAATGAGAAATAATAATTGTTTAATATAGATCTTTTAATACTTCAAAATACAAATTTGAGGTCAAGGATTGTTTAATACTTTATGATTACAGGTATGGTGGAGGACCAGCTGTTAACCATCTGTATGTTTGCCATACTTGCCAAGTGGAAGCAGAGAAAATAGAGAAAAGAAGAAAAACAGAACTGGAAATGTTTGTTCGGGTAATGTGTTCTTCCTTTTAAAACTATGTCGGTTTTTTTAAACTTACATTCTTAAAATTAATGATTTGGATCACCATTGAAAAACACTCTGTGTGTGGTATGCCTCCACTGCGAGAAAGCGCCCCCACAATCTAATTTGGCAGATTGGATGACAAACAAAAGGATAGTTTCTGTTTGCTCAAGGGCAATTAAATTTCCAAGCCAAGATGTCTACATTAACTTTTATTGAAGTTTTCATAAGTAATTCAATTTGTAATGACAGCCCCCCAAACACACACACACTGTTCACCTTGCTGTGTGATGGTGGAATTTCAACATTAAGGGCAAGATTCACATCAAGCTTGAAAAGATTTGTTTTTGAATGCAAAATCAAATAGTAGAGAAATGACAATGCTGTTCATGGTTTTAGCTTTTGTTAGTGCCTTGAGTTCCACAGCTGTGGGTAAATATAACAAATACAAATATTAAAGATTTCTTACTGGAATTGTTGTTCTTTAGCTATAACTGGAACATCTTAAGAGTATAATTCCGAAAACTACTCAGAAATATGCCTCAATGTACATAAGGGAACTTCATAAGGAGCACAAACGTGGTCATAAAACTTGTTTTTATGTCTTTCAGCTCAATAAGGCATTCCAGGAAGAAGATTCGCCGTCCATATTCTATTGTATCAGTATGCAGTGGTTCAGAGAATGGGAGGGGTTTGTGAAGGGCAAGGACAGTGGTGAGTAGCTTCCAGAAAGAGTATCAGATTTGCAGTAGAGCTTACTATAATATGCACTTACTATTTTCTCCATCATTAAATTACTCTGGTACAAGCCTGGCAACATGCAGATGCTTTGTTTAAAAAAGATGAGAAAATAATAATGAGAACAGGATTTGGCACATGATGCATGTTCATACAAGAAACTACTGCAGCTTGTAATGAAATGGAAAAGAGAAATTCTGTTTGTAGATTCAAACAGATCTATGCAAATACGCTTGCAGTTTAAGGAGCTTCCATTATATTTTTAATAGATTGTTTGTTTGGATTTTTTAAAAAAATGAGTTATCCAGAAAGGTTTTTTTTTAGAAAGTTTATAGTACAAGTCAATCAATCTATCAAAACAGAGGCAAAAGCAAAACTAATAATGTGTAGTTCCTTGTGTTCCTGTAGAAAAGTTACTTGGATTTTCTCCCAGTAAATTCCCACATGAACCTCGCGGCTCTCTATTTTGCTAATAACTCAGTATTTTATTTAAAAAATTTGGGAGCAGGCAAAACAAACAACGCAGGAAGTGCAAATGTGGCTTATTTGTTGTTTCTTTGTTTACTTCTTAAACCTTGCATTTCCAGTTACTTTCCATCAAATATATTTTTTCTGTATACTAGATCCTCCAGGATCCATTGATAATGCCAAAATTGCTGTCAACAAATGTGGTACTGTTGTTCTGAAACAAGGTATGGACTTATTGATAATATTTTGATTTTTTTCATGTAGTTTTCCTCCTTTTCTGTGTGTGTGTGATGGTGTGTGTGCATAATTTGCTGTGTGTCTGTCCCCATTTCTGCCATATGCAAGGACTGCACACTTTTCTTAAGATGTAAATTGAAAGAGTTCATTCTCATCGCAGAAGATACCAGGATCCATTAGAAACTCCACAGCAGATGAATAGAGTAGGGAAGTGAATTCCATAACTTCCTTTTACCCTTGCATCACCTCTCCCACTGTTCTGGAGTGTCTCCCAACTCTTCTGGGGAGACCCATTAAGATGAGATTGCCTCTTTGCTCTATTCCTCTAATGCAAGCAGAATTCCACTTCTCTAGATCCAGATAGTTCAGCAATTTTGCATTTTAAACAATATATAAAAACTACCAGTATATGGAGGCTTTTAATTTTTGTACAAGGTATTATATCATCCGTGAAACTGAAGAAAAATAGACTTTGATTGGAACATCAGATCCAAAAATCTGTGCTCCAATTGTTTTTAGTCAGTATATTGACATTCTGAAAAGATTATCTTTTAAAAAAAATACTTTTAAAAAGCGTATACCTTTTCTCAGGGAAAACATCTTGACAGATGTTCTGGTAGTTACATGAAAATATAGGCTCAAAAAGTGAGAGAGTAAAGTTGTGTTTTGAAAAACCACTGGTCATATAACCTTTTGAAAAATGGCATTCATAACCTTTTGGGAAAACCAGGATTCTTTTGGAAAGGCATGACCTTTCCAGAGATCGTAACTTTTTAAAAGTATAATCTTCCTGAGAAGAGTTAAAAACTCACTTGAATCAACCTTCTCCTTTGTGGTAGTATTCATGCAAGGCAATTAGATTTCTCAGTTGTTAGAGACTGAAATCCTTGGCTATATCTTTGAACTGTTAGGAACAAAGATATGCCAATGCACAAAAACAGCAGAAGTGTTCTTTTCAATTGCCCAAAAACATCTACTCTCCCTTAAAAATCTTAATTTATATCATGCTTTCAAGAGACCCAAAAATAAGTAGACTTCTTTAAAAGTAACAGAGTTGGTTTACTCACAAACTTCATGTATTCAGCATACAGGTATATTGCTTATCAGTCCAGTTACAGATAGGATTTAAAGTAGTTTCTTTGTGCAGATAACACAGGACACCTTTCTTACAATCAGCAGTCCAAAGTCTCTGTTCTCTGTTCTGAGAGTCTAAAAGAGTCTGTTCTCTAAAGCATTCTATTTCTACTGACTTCTAAACAACCCAGATCTGATCATGTGGTCTGCAGCCCCTCCCACAACATAAGAGTTGTGGAAAACTACATACCAATACATACATACACAATATAGTAAGCAATTATATACATAACAGATAACTAGTGAAGGCTTGAAGAAGGTTGCTATTTCCAACATTGTGGGAGATAGAATTGCGCTAATGTCAATGCTCGTTTTGAATGTCACATTACATATAAGGTTGAGCTGAATCTGAAACTGAAGTGAAATTAGACCATTGCCTTGAATTCACTAATGTTGCCTGCTATGTTTGTATGCGCTTAGGTTGGGATGCTTGGTAGTTCTGTTCCAAAATATATTCGCAACTTACTGAAATCTTCATATGTCCACACTATCTTTAACAAAAAATGTTTTTAGGAGCTGATTCTGGACAGATTTCTGAAGAAACATGGAATTTTCTACAGTCAATATATGGAGGAGGACCGGAAATCGTACTAAGGCCACCGGTTGCCCAAAGTGAACCTGAATCACTACAGAGTGAAGATAAGATTGAGTTAGAAACATGTGCTCTGTAGCCATCAACAGTGTGTTTTTAGGAGAGATCTTCAACTCAAAATACATTCCCAAAATCTTTTGTTTTGCTGTTTGGTCTGTGAGGTGACAAGACGTTGGGCATTACTTCATCTGTGGAAAATCAATTGGCACTTGTATAGAGATTCTAAAAGTATATTAGAGTTTTCAAAGACAGGTATTCTCTTGAAAATGTAACTTACTTGTCTCATTTAATTGTAAGTATGTGAAGTACAGATGGAAGATTTAACCATTCTTTTCAATAGATCTTTACAGACTTTTAAATCAAATTTAGTCGAGATGAGATTAAAGGAGAACCTTTAGATGGAAAGAAGTGAAATTTAACAAATGAAATTATGGTTCTAATTTCCTATGAAAACTCAGGAAAAGTTAGATGTTGCTTTTATTTGCACTGCAGTATAGAAGAAACATAATGAACTAAACTGTCAAATCGTTTTGTTTCAGTGTGTCAGGTATATGAATGATTCAGATAGAACATTGTTTTTGTTAGCAGATATAAATAAGGTCCTATCTAATGTTTAAGACAACTTTGACATATATATAATCTAATATAATCAATAGTGTATGTATTTAAGCAAAACCATACTTGTTAAGAGTGTTCTTGAGTGCATGAAGTGGGTATGTTTATTGCTTGTGCATTGGAGGAATTTTCTAAACTTTTTTAATGCACAGTTTCATGTGGAAAGAAATATTGTATAGTTAGGCAATGCTCATTGGCATGATTTATGATGTCAGACGTTGACTTGAATCCACACAAGAAGATTGCAAAAGCATTCTTGATTATTCATATTGAAGTGTTGAATGTCACCCAAATGTCTTTCTTCCTGAATATTGCTACAATACAAGCAATATTATTAAATGCTAGTTCAATAAAAACAGTTTTTAAAATGTTAAGGTGTTTGAAAATTATCCATAGTGAAAAGCTGTGTGTTTAGGAATATAAATGAGCACTACAGTATCCAGTGTGAAAAATGAAATCGTTTTGACTGGAGAAACCTTCAAAAGCTTCTTTAAAATTTCAGCACTTCCCATTGAAATGACAATCAGGCACAACTGAAAAAGGTCAGCAAGAACTTTCTCCAAATTCTCTTAAAATATTAGTGAATTGTGGTTATAACTGTCATACTCTATTCTGGTATGAAGCTTTGTATTGAAACTGTTTCACTACATGATGAAGCACAAAGCAGTCCTTGTTCATAAGGACAATTCAGTGAAGATAAAAACATCCATATGGAAGAAATCTTATCCCCCACATCATTTTGTTACAGTGGCTTTAGATTCTCTGTATGCATATGGGGTGCGTGGGTGACCTTAAATTGTTTGTCATGTTTTGGTCAATTAGAAATACTGGGTTTGCATTTCATCTGTCTGTGTCTTGGAAAACAAAACACATAAAATACCCTTGGTATTTTGGTATAAACCAAACTAATATCATAGCTGCTGGAAAGTAGCAGTTCCTGTTCTCCAATATAATTAGTTATAACCTAACTGGATAGATAGGTCCAGTCTGCCTTTATAAGTTAAAAGGACAATATTGGTTTTAACTTCTTTCCCTTTCAATGAAAATTGAAATGTTTTATCTGTCTGCAAGTCTTTTCATAGTGAGAGTGTGACACAGTTGTGTATCTCTTATCCAAAATGCCTGGGCCCAGATATGTTTTGGATTCTGAATTTTTTAGATTTTGGAATATTTGTATGCACTTAATGAAATAGACCCAATTCTAAACACAAAATTCATTTATGTTTCTTACACACCTTCTACAGGTAGCCTGAAGGCATTTTTATACAATAGTTTTAATAATTTTGTGCATGAAACAAAGTCTGTATCTTAAACCATCAGAAAGCAAAAGAGTCCCAGCTACCTATATGGACAATTGGATCTGGGAGCATTTTGGATTTCAGTTTTCCCGAGAAAGAATACTCAGGGTTGTTGTAGGTTTTTTGGGGCTGTATGCCCATGGTCTAGAAGCATTTTCTCCTGATGTTTCACCTGCATTTATGGCAGGCATCCTTGGTTGTAAGTTCTCTCAACCTGAGGATGCCTGCCACAGATGCAGGCAAAACGGCAGGAGAGCATGCTTCTAGAACATGGCCACACAGCCCGAAAAACCTACAACAACCCAGTGATTCTGGCCACGAAAGCCTTCAACAATACAAAGAATACTCAGCCTATTTTTGAATTTCTCTAGAAATCACTGTTTGTATATACTGTCTGGAAGGCAGTATATGGATATTTTTGCTTAAGGTTTGGATGGAGTAAATATTAGTGCTCAAATGTAACATTTTATAAACACTCTGATACAACTACACACGTATATCTGCTTTTTTGGTGAAGTGATGATGAGGGGACTCCTTGTCTCCCCACTTTTTATTCAGATCTGGTGAAGATATAACATGAATAAAACTTTAAAACAGTAAACACAGAAAAAAATGAATGAGCAGCTTTCATACACTATGCATCTTGGGTTCAGTCGTTAGAACAGTAGTTTTCAACTTGTGGGTGTTTTGGCCTACAGCTCCCAGAAATCCCAGCCAGTTTACCAGCTGTTAGGATTTCTAGGAGATAAAGGGCAAAACATCTGAGGACCCACAGGTTGAGAACCACTGTGTTAGAACTAATCTATATCATTCTAAAAACAACCTCCTGTTTTTGGAAATGGTATACTGTTTTTTCCATTGCATGTGATATGTGTTTACAATGAATCTGCCTCTTAAATGTTATAAAGTCATTCCGGACAGAAATCCAGCTTCTGTTATTTGATTTCAGAGGCAGGAAGCCATTTTTCAACCCAACAGTCTATCCAAGTTGTGTTTTACTTATAAGGCCCACCATTTACTTTGCAAAAGAAAATTATAATGCAAAACAAAAACATTTTGTACTGTCACAGTGTTGAGTATCCTGTGGACATAAAGAGATAAAAAAGACAAATTAATTTTATTTCCAGGCTTTAGCACAATAAATAGGGGTGTATGTGTGAGTTCTCCTGAAAGACACTGTAATTGTTGTACTTAGATATTTGAATAGGAGAAAATCTATTTTCTGTTTATTTTTTTATTTTTTTTAAAGATTTTATTTAAATACAATAACAATTTATTAAAGAAAATCTAAACAGTGGCAGTGAATCTTGTTCCTCTCTAAATTTCCTCATTTCCATAGTTCTACCCTCATTTCTATTTCCTGGTCATGCTATAATGATGAACCAACTTTATATAGAAAACAATGTATTTTGCAGTTAGGAAAATAGACAGGATGTTCTGTATATAAGATTGCACATATAAGTGACATCATTGCATTAAAGAAATTTAAAAATCATACGAACAGGGAGCATGATATTTTATCTTTGGATGCTAAAGAAAATTGTAGCACCCACAAAATATGTTCTTGCCATGCTAAAGGAAGCTACCCTTTCAGCCAAGAATCTTTGCTCAAATAATTAATAGATTGATAAATGTTTAAAACCAGAATATTAAAGTAGCCATCCTTGGAATGTGTACACATGGCAGAATAGTTAGCGGATTTTGTATGGGAAAAGTAACGTATTTCTCTTACTTAGCCCCTACAGTGTATTATTATTCAAAACATTTATTGAATTGCAGACTAGTTTCTAAGGAAAACTAAAGCATTAGTTGGTTTAACTGTATTGCACGTATTTATCTAGCTACCTTTCTGTAATATACTGTTTCAAGAAAATATGTCCTGGTTCCTATAGCAACCGATCTCTCTCTTCTCGCCACCTTTCAAATTGTAGATCAAAAAGAACTGAAATGTTGCATAGACTGACATTTTTACATGCTTGTGTCCTTCATCCCAACCAGAGCAAATCTTCAAAAAGAGACACAAAGCGTTTGATGAGATTTTTCAACCCAATTAGTTGAACTTCCTCTTTGCCAGAATTCTAATTGCTCTTATTTCTGTGGATTAAACGTTGACGATGAATCAAAATTGCTAATTAAAACTTTGATCAAGTTATGGGCTAAATCCCATGCTTCACTGCTTTCTTTCCCTCCCACTTCCACTGTCTTTACAATCTGAAAACCTACACGGGGGGGGGGGGGTTCCCACTCCCCAGGGGCACATCTTCATTGGAGCCTGGTGATAAAAGACCCCACCCTGTTTCCCAGTAAAGGCCATATTCTGGATTGACCCTGGGGTATTCTGTCTCTGTAGAACCACACCAGGACAAGTTTTTAGGGAGTTGTTGAGGTTGCTGTGAGAAGGTGGGAGGACTGATTGCCTGCCAGCCAGTGATGCTCAATCCTGCTTCTATATGCAGAACACCACTACTGCATATTACCATATCCTTCTAAAGTACTGAAGAACATTTTGTATTTAATCAACTTCCTTCTTACAAAAAAAGGCAGAATAGTACAGTAGAAGCGATGCGATAGCTCTACTCTGAACTGAATTTGAAGTAGAAGTCTTCTAGGTGAATGTTATTACCAAAGCAAAAAAAGCTCAAATAAAGGCGACTGAAATTAAATCAGACTACTGTTCATTGTCAGAATTGACCCAATTTAGTTACATGACCTAAGCTTTAATCACAATGTCATTTTAATTTCCATCTTGCCATTACCATATGAACTCAATAAATGCTTGAAAAGAAGGGATCTTGAGTACACTTTGGAGCAGTTTCAGTGCCACAATAACATTCCCACAGTTCTGAAGGTCGTCTTTTCAAATAAATCAACCAATTCCGACTATAAAACCTTGTGTGTATCAAAGGGAATCAAAAAGATCGTTGTGTTCTAGAAATAGAAGTTCTAAGTAAATGTCACAGCAAATGTGATGCTTTGTTCTTCCACTGTCCATCATAAAAAATGTATGATGTTAAATCATTGTACTATAAGGTGTGTTTATGGGCTTCTATTTTGGTTGGTATTTAAGCTACGACAGAGCATATGAAAAACTGCTGGATCAGATTCAAGCCTTTTTTGTCCAATCATTTATTTTCAGTGATCAATCAATTACTTATGGGAAGACTACCTAAAGGACATTATTGTCTAAGGCTTAAAGGTTGATGGCTTCGAATGAACAGACATTTTGTTTCAGGAAAAATCTGGCTTATAAATGTTATGATGCATCTTCACAATAATGCTCACTACTAACTATAACTAGAGACTAGAGTCTGCCTTTAAGAACCATATATAGAACACAAGATTGGAAGAAAGCTATGGAAAACAAATCATTCTATTCAGATGGTCTAATGAACAATGTTTAAAGATATGGCAACATCTGCATTGTTCTTTGCAAAATCTCCCTCCCACCAATTAAAAATAAACTTTAATACTGACAGTTTATATCTTGTCTCGGAATATGAAATAGCGCAGGATAAGCATAGCTGTTAATACATGATTTTAAAAATGATTTGTGTTAAAGGAATTAGGAAATTCTATTTCTGTGTTTTGTGATTCTTTTTACAATGATGTCACGATTTCCATAGAATAGGAATAATTCCTATTTAAAATTTAAAATTTTAGTTTTACATTTAGGTCAGTTGGTATAAGTGACATAAATTATTATATGAGTCTCTGATAAATGTCCTTGCTTCACTTTTAAGCTTTAAACTACTTTTCAGGATTCAAAAGTCCATGTTTCCCCTTTAATTAAAAGTTGGATGACAAATTTATGGAATAATGGCTGGACACTCAGTAGAATCTTTGATCTCCAAGTGATTTATACCGTTTGAGTTTCAAATGTTAGACTTCACAATTAAACAAATCAAATTCTCATTGTATGTTTTGGTATATTAATATAGAGGTTATAACACTTAATCAGGATGCAAAAAAGGGTGTATTACTAGAAACAGCCAACCTTGTGAATCTTTGCTTGAAACAAAGGATGAGAGTGCTGTGTGTTGATCATTTTCTGCTCAGGTTTTATGCTTTAAGCACTTTTAGCCTCAGGGTCCAGGCCTTCTCTCTGTACTACATTTTCTTCCTTTAAAGACTGCAATATACTTGCCTTTTAAAGCTTTTTCCCCCCGTTAAACTTTCTTTCTCTCATTGTTGTTGTATTTTTAAACACCTTTTGCTTGGAAAAAAACCCTTTTGGATTAAGGACTTTTGGCTTTTTGGACATTTTGTTTTAATTTAATTTGAATTTTATTTTGTTTGCTGTAATCGTCTAAAAATCTTGGGCTGTCCATCAGAGTGGTATATATACATTTCTTTAATAACCAGAGTTAAACATTGTTATGTACCACTAGAATGGATTAAAGATTAAACTGAGCTTCAATGTTTAATGTTTATTCTGATTTGTTTTCTGAACTACTATTTGTCATCTATTATATTTTGATAACAATTTACTATTTCATCATGTTAATGACATGCTAACTGCTTAATTATTACACCTTGTTTTAGTACATATTTATTGCTTTAGTTGCTATGCTTGTTAATATTATTACCACTTGTACTATTGCATTATTCACTATATTTATAATCATCAGTTGCTTTTCACCATTTTGTCTATCACTACAATACATTTTATTTATTTATTTGGTGTGTGTTTCTGTTTCAACTATCATTCTTCATTGAATTTACAGAAACATAATACAACATTGAGGAAAGGAAAGGAAAAAAATCCAGTGGGATTGCTTCATATAGTTATTATTCTGCTATTCTACATGAAACTGATTTGGAGACATCACTCCTCAAAGGAAATGAGCAAGTATACTAAGCACACCAGAGACAAGATCTACTACTTACTATTCTCGTCCCTAACTTGGTATCTCCCTAGTTTTGGAAGTCATTTATGTAATTCAACAGTATGACGATATCAGTCATCTCTCATCAGCTCAGAGACAGAACAAGATAGACACAGCTATGTCAAATTCATTAGGCTTACACTTAAGAGTTATACTGCCTGTGCAAGTTACTAATTCTGCTGTAGCTTGTATGTAGGACTGGCCTTGTCCACTCAAATAACATATGTATTCTAGACATCTAAAGCTACATCTATACTATAGAACTGCGGAACTTGCTGACCAAAAGGTCGGCAGTTCGAATCCGGGGAGCAGGGTTAGCTCCCACTGTCAGCCCCAGCTTCTGCCAACCTAGCAGTTCAAAAGTATGTAAATGTGAGATCAATAGGTACCGCTCCAGCAGGGAGGTAACAGCACTCTATGCAGTCATGTTGGCCACATGACCTTGGAGGTGTCTACGGACAATGTCGGCTCTTCAGCTTAGAAATGGAGATGAGCACCACCCCCTAGAGTCAGACACAACTAGACTTAATGTCAAGGGGAAACCTTTACCAATGCATACACTGTAGAATTAATGCAGTTTGACATCACTTTAACTGCTCATCAAACTACAAATCCCTAGAATTAATGTATATCCCACCCCGTCTCCCCATGAGGATTCTGGGTGGCTAACAAAATAAAAGGCAAACATTCAATTCCAGAAAATTTAAAAAATGAATTTAGCAATACAGGTAAACAGTATAAAACATTCAGTCATAAAAACAATCACAATAAAAGACTAATAAAGCACATTTCATGTTAGGGAAAACTACCCTAAAATATAAAGCAGAACATAAAAAAAACCCAGAATACCAAAGCGGAGCATCAACTCATTAGCAAGCAGAGCGTGAAGTGCTGTGTGATGTGGCGGTAAAGAATTCAGAGCTTAGGAGGCAAACATGCAGAGTCCAATCTTAAAACATCACAAAAGATTTATTTTCAATAATAAAGAACTAACTGCATTTCTTAATAATGAAGAATTGGGTCTGAGTTACTCTTAACACCCATGGAGTCTGAGTTACTCTAAGGTTTCAAGAGAGAAAAACTCAATCATTACATCTCTCCTGACACACAAGCAGAGAGAGATCACAAAGCACCTAGCACATACTCTGCATGCTAAAGTGTAAGAAGGCAGATTCATAAAACTTGCAGTAGAAAAGTATCCATTTTAAACAACCATTCAGAATGAGTAGAAACAGAGATAGGGAGACAACAAAATAGATACATTCCCAACTGTCGTACATGAGACATGGGGGAAGGGAAACCCTTAGTCTATACCAATGGTTCTCAATCTGTGGGTCCTCAGGTGTTTAGACCTACAACTCCCAGAAATCCCAGAAATTACCAGTTGTTAGGATTTCTGGGTGTTGGAGGCCAAAACATCAGGGAACCCACAGGTTGAGAATCATTGATCTATACGAAGCGAACGTTGAGGCCTTGAGACTTGGGCAGTGTGAGGTTGAATTCCAACATTTCACAACTACTGTATATACTCAGCGTTGCTCCCCAGCTGCCTGAAGAGCTGCTGTCTGCCTTTCTCCTTTCTCCAGCTTTGAGAAGATATACTTCGCAATGTCTCCATGGCAACACTGGGCAACTATTTCCTTCTCCATTTCCCTCATACACCTTCTTCCCTCTTTTATTCCTGTCTTTCCTTCTTCCCTTGCTTTCCCTTCTACATCTCCTTCATTTCCTCCATTGTTTCCTTCCTTCCTATATCTTCCCCCTTTCCCTTCTTTCTTTCCTTCCTTCTCCATTTCCCTCATACACCTTCTCCTTTTCTTGTTTTTCCTTCTTCCCTTGCTTTCTCTTCTACATCTCCTCTTCCCTCCTTCCGTTGTTTCCTTCTCATCTTCTTCCCTTTCCCTTCTTTCTTTCCTTCATTTCTTACACACCTCCCCACTTTTCTTGTCTTTCCTCCTTCTTGCTTTCTCTTCTACACCCTCCTTCTTCCCGCCCTCCATTATTTCCTTCCTTTCTATAACTCCCCCCCCCCGCCCTTTCCTTTCTTCCCCTCATACAGGTCACTTCACTCCCTTTCTTTCCCAGTCACGTGACAGGGGGCCACTTGACCTTTTCTTTTTCCCTCAGCTCTGGGCCTTAAAAGGTCTCCTTTTTCCATTTCAACCCCCGCAATTATTTTAAGTTAGATAATGAAGGGACTGTGTGAGGTTGAACTCAGAGGCCCCCGCTTTCAAACTGATCTAACTGCAGCAGGGAAAAGTCCTGGAAACATGGACTTTCAAGGTGACAACAGGACTATGGCTCCAGCAACAGCTTCAATGAAGAAAGTCTTTTTCCTCCCCACTAACTTCCTCCTGCTTCATTGTAACAATCCCCCAATAAAAATACCATTTTCTCCAACTTTCTCTCTCAAGTGATACATTGTGTCCTTTACTGGCTCTAGCACCGTTGCAAATGTGAACTTTCCTCTTTCCAAGCCGTGGAACTTCGCTGGCTCACCCGGGATGCTCTTGCAGCATCCCGGAGAAGCCGAAACTGCAATCCTTCAAACCGTAGATATGGAAACCGGCTCGGTCCTGGTATCCACGGGTTGACTGATCAGCTCCAAATCAGTGCCATCTTTTTCCTAGGTCAATTCTAAGATTAACTGCTATCTTACTTTTTGTTGGAACAGACCCCTGCACCCCAGAAATCCACCTCTTTATGTGGAACCTTATGTGGGGACCAGAAGGTTTCTTTCCATGGCTCCACACTACGATGCTCATGTTTTCCTTTTTGCGCCCTGACCTGGAGGCCTATCAATCCCAGGAAGTCTCTTGTGGTCACTCCCTTGGACCCCCAACCTCTGGCAGGCCAATTTGGCCACTCATGAATTAGACCTATGAATTAACCTCCCGTTTTTATTAATGGACTTTGGCTGCTCGGTGCTTTTATGGACATATACTTTTAGGAACTTTTTTGGACTTTTTGCCAACTTTCATGAACTTTGATGACTTTAGGGTGGCTGAAATAAATTCTTTCTTGACCCTGCATCCCTCCCCTTCCCATATGAACTCTGTATATGCCCTATGCCCCCATTCATTATATGTATGTATAAAAATTATGAAACAAAGTGACCTTTTCATGAACTATGCCAGCAACTCGGCTCTAGGGACTTCAGAACTTCCTGAGCCGATAATTCCCTAACAAAAGGACTTGGCAAAAACGATTTGCATGGACAATAAACCAACAGCCCCTCTCCCGGACTTCGGAGGGTCTCATTGACAAGACCATCCAGGATGATGCGGTCCATGGACATATTGAAGCATTCAATACAGAAGGCACTTACGTGTCACTGCCTCCCCCATTGTGCCATTTCCCGGTGTCTGAAAGGCATCTCAACTCTCATCAAGTAAATATCACAGGATTATGACAATGGAATCGGTGGGGTTCAAAATGTAGGTGAACTATAAATCCCAGCAAGTACTACTCCCAAATGTCAAGTCTATTTTCCTCAAACTTCTATAGTGTTCATATTTGGGCATATTGAGTATCCGTGCCAAGTTAGGTCAAGATCTATCATTGTTTGAGTCCACAGCGCTCTCTGGATGTAGGTGAATTCCAAAACTCAAGGTCAATACCCACCAAACCCTTTCTGTTGGTCGTGGGAGTTCTGTGTTACAAGTTTGGTTCAATTCTATCTTTGGTGAAGTTCAGAATGCTCTTTGATTGTAGGTGAATGATAAATCCCAGCAACTACAAATCCCAAATGACAAAATCAATCCTGCCAGTTCCACCAGTATTCAAATTTGGGCATATGGGGTATTTGTGCCAAATTTGGTCCAGTGAATGCAAATACATCCGGCATATCAGATATTTACATTACGATTCATAACAGTAGCAAAATTACAGTTGTGAAGTTGCAACAAAAATAATTTTAGGGTTGAGGGTCACCACAATATGATGAACTGTATTAAGGGGTCCAGAGGCGGCCCTAGGTAATTTTCAATGGTAAGCAAACAGTATTTTGGCGCCCCCCCCCCAAAACCAAACACTGATATATATACATATATGGATATGGGCATGGACAAATTTTGTCCGAAACACATGGAGGGCCGAAGTTGGCCCATGCCATATATATATATATATACACACACACAAGGGGTCATGGCCTTAGGAAGGTTGAGAACCACAGCCCTAAACCTTGCCCCAGCCCTTACCCTAAGCGTCCCCTCCTTTCTACCCTTCCTTTGCTCTCCCTCCGGCCCGTCTTCCCTTATTCACAGCCACCTTTGCGGCATCTCCATAACGCTGGGAGCTTCCGGGCCCAGCTATCCTACTATCACCTTCCCATGCGTGATATAAAATGTCAAAGTTGGTTGGTTAGTATGTACACACGGAGTGTCCCCTTTCCCAAACGTGTACCCCCTTAACGGCCGCTGATTCCGGCAAAAGGGTTGGGAAGAGGCCTCTGCTCGCCCAGCGCGGCCTTCTTCCTCCCTCCTCGGCTCAGCCGGCAGGCGGAGCTGCAGGGCGCGAGCAGCGGGCCCCTCTCCCTCGCGGGCGGCGCAGGGAAGATGGGGAGGAAGCGGAAGGTGCGGTGCCGCTGCTGCCGCGAGGCGCTGTTTATTGGAGGGGGGGGGGGCGCTGACGTTGCTGCTTGGCTCTGAGAGAGAACAAGGAAGGGGCGCTTCGGCTCCTTCAACAATCAGGTCAGCTCCCCTCCCCCCTCCCCCGCTCAGGACACGGATGAGGCGGAGGGACCCGGATGGTGTGTTGGGAGGGGGGAAACACTGATAAAAAAGGAGGAG